AGGGGTTCATGCAGATAAACAAGGGATCCCCTCGAGCAATGAAAGTAACTGCTCTTGTCTCATAGCGTTTCCATCCTGAAATGGACTCATCCCTTAAGTAAGCTACATCCAGGTGAATGACTTCTGCATGTCTTGGCCTAATGCCTTCTCAGCAAATCTTAGTGGGCAACCTTCATGATTTATTTTCCTTGTCTGTGGGGACCAAATACAAAACCAGCAAACTTGACAAGGACATTAGAAGAGCTACTTGCAGTTCAATTTATTACTCAGTTTTAACAGTTTCCCTCCTATCATCCATCACCCAATTGCCACATTGTTATGACCAATAATGGGGATAGAGCGTAAACTAAAGTATTGGACACCATAATGCTGGTGTTTTCAAGCTATTTTAATGTTAAAAATGATAAAACAATCTTGAGATGGGGATAAGCAAGGATTGTTTTTCTTCAGACTGAAGTTTGAAGGGGGACCCTAAGTAACTCCAAACCTAGGACAAACCAATTGTTTAGCACTAGTTGGAGAATTATTGTTCCATTGATCACAATCTCTAAAACTAAGTGAGGTTGGAGATACTGAACCATATGGGGCATCACTTTCTCCCACAAGCACAATAAGGAGCCAATCTTGGCTGAACATAGTATCTTATTTTGAGAGATCAGATGGCAGGAAGTCCTTATTGGTTACATAAGAGTGGGGAAAGCTTTTAAAACAAGCTTCAACCAATGCACACTCTGGGGAATACTTGGTAGATAGTGCATTTTGCTAACTACCATGTATAATATCCTGTTCCCCCCTTGTGCAGAGGGAATCTTGACAAAAATCTAAACTTCAAAACATTTTGATAATTCAATTCAAAATTTTATTGGGATCATTATATGCTACCAATCATGGTAAAATTGTTTAGATTAGTAGGCATAAAAAACTAGTCGAATATAAGCACAAGTATTAATATATTCTTTCGAGTATTGGATTTAACGATAAATATAAATATTTGGATTAAAAGTATTAAACAAAAAGAATAAAGGATGGGAATACAAAAAGGAGACAAAAAAAATATCATTGTCCTATAATAGTTATAGTGAAATATAAATGCTGCTTTCTCCTTCTAATTCTTCAATCAATTTGACCTACTAGTTTGTATAGTTGAAAGGCTGATCAGTCAAGGACAAAATCTGTGTTCTTTCCTTACCCATTCCATTAAGAAAACTTGAACCCCATAAACTATCTTCAACATTATTGACTTGAATTGCATTTCATTATTACATTTTGCAACAAAATGTACACACTTCACAAGGACTTGAAGATTTTGCTGCCACAAAAGAAGCCGTCTAAACCGAAATAATGGTTTGGGTTTGAGCTAATTAATGTAGAAAGAAAAGGAGGAGACGGATTGGTCTAAGAACAAAGTTGAGAGAAAAGGGGGGAATCCAATGTAGACATGTACACATGGGCAGAGCCAGGAATCCTAAGAGAAAGAAGATTCTAAACCAATAAAATTAATTGAATTATGAGTTAGGACACGAGTAGTACCCTACCCATTTGACAGACCAATCATCGGCTTTCTTTTTGGGTTTGACGCGGTTTTGATTCTCTGATTTTTTTGGTGTTTAGTCCCCGCGCTCCCCCTCTGGGGCTGCCCCCCTTGGGGGGTCTGCCCAGCTGCGGCTGCCCGGGTATATTTTTTTCCATTTTTTTTATTTTGGCGGGAAAATTGCCCTTAGGGTATCAATTTTAGGGATTGTTTCCCGCCAAAAAAAAAATCAAAAAAGAATTTAGCCCGGGAAAAGCGGGGCTATGACGGCTGGGCTTTGTTTTTTTTTTAACCCTAGTTTGCGGACATGAATGCAGGGCTATATATGGCGGCTGCCCATTTTTGTGGGCTGAATCAGTGGGCCCACTGGGTGTTCCAATATAAACCGTAGTGGGCCCTACTTAGTAGGTCCCACATGATTGGAGACGTACACTTGGTTGACTTTTTCTTTTCTCATGCTTTATGCGTTTTTTTTCTTCCGCTTAGTAGGGACCGGATTGGCTTGATTGATCTAAATTTTGATCTGTTTGATTTGATTAAGAAGCTGAAATGCAAGGGTATTGTTTGGTGAGGTATGTTTGTCAAAAACGTGTGCGCTTTTACTTTGATTATGTTTTTTTTATATATAAATAAATATATATATATACACATAAATATTTTTATTATGCACATATTTTCAAGTACACGTGTAATGTTGAAAAATTTACCATAATCCTGAAAAGAGTCAAAAAGTAAAAGTTTGTGGTCTGTGGGCGTCCAAAAATACAGATACAAGGTACCGTGTTTGAAGTAAGCTCTTCCTAAAAACAAAGCTTTTTCCGTTTCAATGGTTTTAAGTTGACAAAATATTCAGAAAAAATTTTTGAATTATTTTAAAAAATTAAATAAATTTTTAATATTTTATTCAATTTAATTAAATATTTTTATTTTTATTTTAAATTAAATAATTTTTTTAATTAATAATAATTAATCAAAATATTATTTATTATTTATTATTTTATATAATATTAATATAAAATATTAATATTTTATAGTGAATGATGACGTTATGTTTTTTTTTTAAGAATTGAAGTGATAAAAAACTGAATCTTAGTGGACCGTTATAACAAAACCACTTTATTATTTATTATATTTGATCACATATTTAAGTCATTTGTAAAGGATTCTACTTATTCCTCGATCGGAATTATATGTTTTAAAGAGGCCCACATGGCTCATTTGTTGTAAGGGTTGGACTTATGTCACGTGCCGTTCAGGGGTCAAAAAATTCCTATTGCAAGTTGGTAATCGGGTGACCCGCACGTCCGTCGTTTTTGACTCCAATTTTGATTTAGAGGTGTTTAATCCTAATTAAAAACACGTTAATTTCACATCATTAACTTTTCAACTAAACACAATAATCAATTGTACAAATCAAGTGTTTTTTTTGTATTACGTTGAATTACTATTATAACACAACTATCGATAGGTTAAAATTAACTTATCTCATGATGTTACATGCTGATATAACTGTGTGATATTTTTTACTTTTCATATTAATGTTACATGAACAGAAAAATAACAAGTGACGTTTTGATTCATAATAGTTAAATAACAGTTAATCTTTAAAGACTTAATTGATCTAAAATAAAAATATAAAATTTTAATTGAACATAATAAAAAATAAATATTTATTTAAATTTTATTCTTTTAAAATATTATACTTTTTAACATAATTTTGTAATTTGTCTAATATACAATAAATCAAGACATAAAAATATAAAATCTTGCATTTAGACACATATAAGATCAAAATTTTGATGTCTATTTAATAAATATATATTTTAAATTAAAAAAAAATGAAATCGTGATATAAAAAGATTGGAACCTACCGCATTAGCTCTTGGGCTGACCAGTTGCTCCAGTTTAGGTTCAGGATGGCTCAACTCCCATGGGCTAAAAACGTTGGAAACGCATATAATCTAGTTGGGCTTGGAGTTAAGCCTTGGTCAATCAGGCTTCCTAGAAAACACAAGGGAATCAGGAGGAGGAATGAGCAGAAAAGATGGCAAGCGAGCAACAAAAGCATCAGCTTCATGTATGATGAAGACATTTATCTACAACATTAACTAGGCATGTAATGGATGGAAAGACAATCCGGTTATAAAGAAGAAAACAGAAAAGATCCTAGTTGAAGCTGAAAGGAATGACATAATGGCCAACCTACCTCGCTTTTGCCGAAAGTAAGGTTCCATTGACAGCAACATATGGGAGAGAAGAAACATGCGGGAATGCTGCTGGTCAATTTCCAGGATTTATTAAGACAGCTCAAGTTTCATCAGAGTCCTTGTTACTAGCCCCCAACACACAATTTGCTGCTGGTAAATAGATAAGTAGATCAGGTCAGTTTTGAGTATTGGTAATCATGGACAGTGGAAGCCATGGATGACTTGCATCATGTATCATCATTCCCCTTGTGGGGAGCTGACTGAATGAAGATCTGATAACCATTCAAACAGAACACAAGGCCACCAAGAAACATTCTGCCCCTGAAGTACTCTGCAATTACCAAATCTGAGAATGATCTGCCCTGGCTACCAGAAAATATACTACTCATTGCTGCTGAAAGAAACATGGATATCCTTGTAGAGTAATTTAGGATATGATTGCATATTGAACGATTGCAGCACCCTCTTTTCCACATGTAAGTAAAATAGGCTTAGCGTAAATTCTTGAAGCTTTGTGTTAAAGATATAAAATTTTATATAATACAAGATTTCTCTTCTCGTAACATGGCATCGGAGTTTTGGATTCGATAGATCAAGATTTTCTAATACTCTGAAACGTGTTTTAACCGGTGGACTATGCGCTTGAGAGCAAAACATTTTAACTCTTCCTGTTGATGCATTGCAGACAAACGAATTTGCCATTACCAAATCTCTCCAAACTATTGCAAAATTTAAAGCCAAATTACCATTACATCTGACTTACCTGATGGTTTCATTGGTCTGGTTGGTAACAAGTGCTCACCTTTTTGCATTGCTGACAATTGCAAGCTATCGTATCAATGAAAATATCTTCCTTCTTTACATAGTATGTTATGATCATTTCCTGATGTAAACATGTCAACAGCCGAATTTGCCCTTATATCCCTCCATGAATAAGATATCAGAGTGCTTGAGGAAACAAATTTCAATTCCCCATCGAGGGAGACAAATTTATTATTTCAAAGGTTCATTACTTTAAAGATAACCACAGTAAATTTCTATCAGTGAGCAACCAGAGAACAGGGGAGGCTAACTGGCTTTGCTTTCAATCTAATATCGAGAGAAAATTTGACTCAACGGAATACCTTGCCTCTCGAGTACTACTTTATTTGATAAACATTTATACTCAATGAACGCATAAACATACAAGCACCATGAATATGAAATGATTTAAGGCATAAGTATAATTGGTGCAGTGTCAGTATTCCATAGAGAAACCAACATATCATAAGAAACAATGATTTTTCCCCGTTTCAATTTCCAAATAGAACAACATTCAAGTTTTATTGCAGTTAGCTTATTACAATATCAAAGATTTTGTAGAGACATCGATTATTTAGAGAGCAAAGCAGCTCTTTCTATTCCATGACCTGAAGAAATGAAATATTTACAGCAAACAAGCTGAGTTTTGTGGTATATAGCAATTCTGTTGGAACTTCAATAATTTAATTATGTACTTCAATCATGAACTCATCAACCACTAGTTACCTCTATAACTTTATGCAATGCCCATGTCCTTGAAATGACTGAGAGCTTGCTCTCCTCAATCTGCATCTGTCTCAGCTGTGGACAATTCAAGACAAAGAACTCGACAGCCTGAGCTTCAATCCCAGGACAATTCATAATATCTACACTTTCCAAACGCTTGCAGGTCTTAGATATAGAAACCAAGGCAGTAGCAGTTAGCCTTCTGCACCCTCTCAACTTCAATTCAGTCAGATGATGGCAAGAAACTAACATAGAAATGAACTCCTTATCAAGCAACGTCTCATTATAAGACAAGTCCAATTTCCTCAGCATCCTCAAATTCTGCCCCAGTGTGGCTAGCAACCCTGGCTCTCTTTCAACAACATCACAATTTATTAAGGCCAATTCTTCAAGACTAGAATGCAAGGCAGTCCCGAGAGTCTTTAGACCTTCACCAGTAACAAGACAGCAACTTTGAAGCCTGAGTGTTGACAGACCTCTTAAATTCATAGCAACAGCTAAGAGGTGATCATTTTTGAGGTCTAGCGGTAACCTAAGGTCGAGCTTCTGCAGATTACACCTGCAAGTGCTTATGAATTCCAGCAAACCCTCTCTGCTGCCTCCATCATAAACCAACAGAGAGTTCAAAGAAGCACAATTCTCAGCCAATCTTAGTAACACCCCATCAACTACACTCCTACATTTCCTTAGCTCCAGTTCTTGAAGACCTTCCACGCACAAGATAAATGAGGAAAAAGACTCTCCATCACCAATACTCTCACAGCTCTTTAGCTGCAATTTCTTAAGCCTTTTGCAGTTCCTCCATAGCCAACCAACACCCTTATCATCTGCCTGAATTCCTGACAAGCAAAGACTTTCTAAACCGAATTCTGCATCCAATTCCTCATTTAAACACAACCGAATTCCCCCAACTTCATCATCAACACCATCAGTAGAGCATACATATAAACATAACTCCTTTAAACAAGAAAATGAAACAACCCAGTTGAAATAAAGAGGCCTAGATAAGGAAACGGTAATAGAAGTAAGGTGGGAACAAGCTTTCGATAGAGACAATAAAGAAGAAACAGAAACTGGACCAGCTAAGAACCTGAGATGATGCAGGTTAGAACAAGAAGAAGAAACTACAAGAAGCAGGTGATCATAAAAGGCAGTGCTTGAATTCTTGGAGGTATAGGTGGTGGTGGCATCAGATAAAACAAGAGAAAGAGAAGAAAGAGAAGGGTAATAAGAAAGAAGAGAAGACAGAGAAACAATCACAGAAGCATGTGGAAGGAACCTGAGAGAAAGAGAAGTTTTTGAGCTCCTGTAAAGGTTAAGCCAACGCTTGGAAACTAAAGAAACTGATAAAGAAGATGATGGAGTTGATGGCAGTCTTCTAAATATCTCTTGCAGTAGTTCATCACATAACACGGTATCCATAATCTTCTTGCAAACTCTTCAAACTTCAAGAGTTTTCTTTTCTGGGTCTTCTTTGTTTTTCCTCTTCTGACACCTACCAAGAAGTTCCCATGTTTTCCTGAGGCTTTGAGCTCTTTGTTTTGTTATTGGTGTTGACAACTGTCTGTCTGGCTGTGATTTAAAGTTTGAATTGTGATGATTAGGTGAGAGAGAAAGTTGGGTTTCGATTGCAGAGGGAGATTGATAATTTGGGCTAACCGCAGATTGAAGCGCGTGCAAGACATGCTGTTGTTGGAGGAGTTAAAAGATGTGGCTTCTCTCCATGGAAACAGGAAACTGTCTCTGACTTTCTCTCCAATTTTGAAAGATTGGAACTTGGAAGTTACTGCTACATTCAGGGGAATGCTTTTCTCTTTAAGATAATGATTTTTCAAAAGTTTTGTACATATTCCTTCACCTAGATTTATTCCTGATTCTGGGGTTTTTCATCCTTTATTAAAATTTATAGATAATTGAGGTAATCAACCATTACGACAACTGAAAAAAAAGAAGGTCCAATGTGTCTGAATTATCAACTTATTTTCTTTTCTTTTTTTTTTCATATTATCGATTTTTTGTTTTATTGTGTATCTTTAAGTTGAAAAAAAATTGATTATTTGAATATTTTAAGCATAATATTTTAAAAAAAATTTAAACTATATAAAAGTTTTTAAATAAATTTTTATTTATTATTTTTAATCCATTTCTTTCATTTTCATTTTAAACTAAATAAATCTTATAACTAATAGTCGATTAATTATTTTTAATTAAAATTTTTTTATATCATGTGACACTGACTTGATGATGTATTATGATAACATTATCATATGTTATTTTTATATTAACATAACATGGATACACGTCAACGGTTATTCATAAAAACTGATTTGATAAACATAAAAATATAAAAATTTAATTAAATTTAATAAAAAATAAAATTTATTAAAATTTTTTTAAAACATTATGAAAACTTTTTAATATTGATATAGTAAGTTATCCTGATCCAATCATACCATAAATAATATATTTCCTTTTTTAAAAAAAAATTGTCACATTTTTCTGTATAAGTTAAAAAAATTTTGAAAAGTTGACCAAATTAAAAAAAAAATCTAATCACCTAACCTTAGGGTATACTTTATGACTTATGAAATCATCCAAATAATTTTTTTTATTACTTAGAGGCAAAGGAAAATAATAAACTGTTATCTTAAATGTATATATATATATAAATATTATATAATCTAAAATCAAGCTAGGAGATATATTTTCCTTCCTAATTGATGTTGGAGGCAGGTAACTTTCACTTGAGAAAGCGCGTTTGGGCTTAGGGTTTGCCTAATAGGTCCCACCCACCTTTTTCTTTTGTTCTCCACGTCATCATGATGAACATGAATTATTATATACCCACGAACGTATGCAAAAATGAAAAATTAGCATATTTTTCTTTTTTTTTTTTTCTGATTTTCTTTACACTTAATTTTACGTGTTGTGTTTTTGCATCAACGCTTATCAATTCTGACTAGAATTCTACTGCCTGTTTCCTTGACAGATTTTTGTGCAGTTTGGTTTGATATTCAAGGCAGAATAATTCTTTTTTCCCCGCTCTTATAATCTAATTCGTTTTTTGTTTACCATTTTTGCCCTGGAATTTATTGCTTTGGATCTAAATTAGGTGACCACCTTGCGGTCTTTAGCAGGGTCATCTGTCCTTTTCCTCTTTACAATTTTTAATTCTAATTGAACCTTTTCTGCTCTCTCGGAGAAAGCTAGGTGCTGTGATGTTTTAATCTTGGGTGTTTCCTCAGAAAAGGATGTGTTTTGTTGTTTAGTAGCTTTTGGTAGGCAAAGGCTGAGGTCAGAACCTCAAGCCGGTTTCCCTTGCCTCTAGTCTTTTTCTGGCAGACTTTTTGTCGCCTTCTCATGATGATTACTGCTTAACAATAAAACCTATCTAAAACAACATACAAATTTGCAGTTCAAATCATACATTCGAACTCATTTGAACCTGTGTTTGTGTGCGTGCGCGCGTGTTTGGAAGGCTCCGTTAAAGGCAATCGAAAATGGATTCCCAATGAGAACATTTATAAGCCTGCAATTAAACTCCCACCAGAAGCATAGAATCAATAGACATCAATTTGCAATCTTTAAGAGAGAATAACTGTTGCTACTGTCACAGGTTCCTTACCTTTTGAGTGGGCATCAAGCGTTGTTCATAGATATCTCAGCATCTTTTGCTCATCCATGACAAATAGAACACTTCAACTAGAACAAAGTTGGCAAATAAAACAAACATATTCTGCTGGGAGCTAATGGTCAGCAAGGCATCTAGTCCTTATCATTTTCTTTCATCTACTTAAATTTACTTTAAAGAGCAGTGCAAAGCAATCGCCTTTTTTAAATAATACCCCACTGGGGAATTAGGCAAAACAACAGAGGATTCCCTTGCATCCAAAGAAACTATGTCCACTTGACCAATATTATACAATAAAATACTGGCTGATTTTCTCTTTCATGACCTATCTTTTTCAGAGAAATTTCAAGAAGTGTGCAACCATAAACTTGCATGCAAGCATTTACTTGTGTGTGGAAGAGTATGCACCTAAAGAAGGCAATCTACATGTATGGATGCTTCCTCCTTTCAGACCAAAGTGTACCTCTGCGTTAGTGGCCACCGGTTAAGCTTATTTGCATTTGCATGCCCAGGCTCTAGCTGTGAGGGGAAATTTTGAGTTGATTCCGGACGAAGATAATCATAAAGACCAATAACAAGTATGTCAAACCTCATTGTCAGCGTGCCAGCCACCCATCTAATTCCAAAATCAGCCCCATAACATCCGAGTTCCAGAGCATTTACAAACAACAATTGCATGTGCTCTACAGATCAAGTCCAATTTTCATTAAAAGTTTGCAATTAGGTAAGAATACAAACATTGAACTAAAATGCCCTTCATCTTCAATTTGCAGGTCCGAACAGAATTAAGCCGTGTCAACAAGTATGAAGCAAAATGTGAACGCATAATACCCAACAGGGCAAGTATACCATACCAATGAAGATATATGTAGCACTGTTCCATGCCCAAAGAGACTCAACCCACATCCAGAAGTCACCAATATTGACACTGCCAAAACCTTCAAGCATCCCTTTCAACAGAAAAAAAGCAGCTGGAGGAAAAGCAATAAGCCCTAAAACCAGATTACAAACCATTCTAGAAAAACTTCTCAAACTACCAGCTCTAAGATCAAACTTCAAAGGTCGAGCCAGCAAACACATTGGGACCATCAATAAAGCACCAATTTCTGCAGTAGCAAAATTAATGACTGACATGAGCCCCAAACCAATGAACACATATGAGATGGTCACTGATTTCACAAGAGCCCATTCTTTTTCTTGAGAAGTATTATTGCAAGAAAAAGGAGAAGCTAGAACTGAGTACAGGGTTAGAAGACTGATCAATGAAAGGACAACCCAGATCATGAAGCGGATTGTTGGGCTGGAATCAGGTATTTGGCAGATGAAATATGGAAGTAATGAAACAATAGCACCCCATACGTGAACAGCAAAAACTAATTTTGCCGAATTAAGCCACCTCCATGATCTGATGGTGATACCACCCTCACCAGTGTCAGCAATTGTAGATGGAGTGGACTTATTAGTTTTGGAATCCAAACTATTTGCATCAACGTAAAGGGAAGCTGCAACCATTGGAAGTGGCGCAATGAGAAGTGCAAATGCAATCATGTAGACCCCTACTGACACAAACTTACTAGGAGATGTTAAGAGGTATAAGAAAAATGATTGGTGAAACTTCTCAAGGAGGTTATTTACTGATCGTATAACTCCTTCAATCAACCTGCACCGAGCAACATGAAATGCTTCAGAAAAATGAAAGTGACAAAAACCAAGTTATATACAGCTAATCTACAAGTTAAGAAACCCATCTAAAGGTAAAGACCTGCCTATAGAACATCTTAACTTCAATCATTCAAAAATCACCTGAAGTTAAAATTTCAAGATTAATTTCTCACTTTGAAAACTACTTATTGATGAGAACCCCAATAGCAAATCGAAACAGAAAGCAATGAGAATGAACACTCACCTGCCACCTCTAAGAAGAATGTCAATGCGTCTGAATTTATCCAGTGAATATTTGGGTGAAATCTCCAATGTGATTGCATCAACTTGGTAGTCACGAAAAGCACCATGAGGGCCTGTTGGTACACCTAGTGCCTACAGCAAATAGGCAATATGGAGAGAGAGAGAGAGAGAGAGAGAGAGAGAGAGTAAACATCGTCTTCATGAAGAGAGAGAACCAAAAATGTGCAACCCCTTAAATTTTTTCTTAATCCAATTTGATACTATTTTAAATAGAAGATTTGTGGAAAAATGAACCAAAAAAGGAGGGAGACAACGGATAGATCATAAATGACAAAACAAGAATATTACTCTACCTGATAATACAATGAACTTGCAAGTGTAGCAGTGCCTTCAACATACTCTGTTGCTGGGATGCCAAATTTCCATTCTGGGTTTAAGCTTTTAGCCACTTTTCCGAGAGATTCAAAGACTTCACCCAAACTTTTGAGCCAACTGGAGTTAAGAAGGGACCACAATTTCTCCACCTTTACACGCAAACCTTGTCTATGCACTGCCAAATAATTTACAACATTAATGAGATCCAAGTTTGGCATCTGTCCATTAGATGCCTCAGCATAAATGCTGATAGTGTCTTCATATTGTTCACTTTGATCACTGACCTTCAGGACTAGTGCAGCAGCCATAGTCCCAGCACGTCTAAAACTATTGGAAAATTTACTTCCAGCAATCGAGTTGATTTTCAATTCATAAAGATTATTAATATCTGGACACATCTCAGAATTTGGTGTACTCAGACTGCTGAATTTAGGAATCTGATAATCTCTTAACCAAGCAGCAACTGCTGCATATTCTCCATATCGTGAATCAGCAACAAGCCATATGACATCCTTGGATAGCCAAGTAACTTGGGTTAGCAAGGAAAATACTGAATATGCAATTCCTACAGATACAGCCTCACCAAGATCACTCTTTAGGGTATTGTATGGTGTTACCAAGACAATAGCCTCCTTCCCATCACCACGAGGAGCTCTTATGATCCCAACAGTGTTGATACCATAGGACGAACAACTGAAGTTCTCTTGTATTATTCCAGAATCAGGACTAGAGAAAAAGTGCAGTGGATGAAACTGATTCAACTGAGCATGGAATTTATGAAAACTAACTTCAGCGCCCAATTCTAACATGTACTGTGCTATAACTCTTTGACTTTCTCTGAAATGGCAATATAAACAAAGTAAACAGAATTGCATCACATTTCTTTTACCTATTTTTTCCAAGCATTGTTAAGTCAAGTAAGGGATAACTACGAGCTTATAACCCAAAACCAAAAAATGTAAATGTCAAGAAGGTGAAGAGAAAACATAAAGAAACAGCAACTAATCTTCATAGACTGACAACAGCGTATCAAGTGTCTAACACTATAAGAAACAGTTGCATATCTAATATATCACATGAAAAAGCTTCTCAAAACAAACAGAAAAAAGGCAAGTCCTAATCTATTTTACATCATATACATAAGCAAATTCGGAATCAAGTAGCCTATAATATACTTGGTCAGCTCATTTACTGCCCTAAAACAATTTTCAGAAGATTTCATATGTTCGTGTATAAGCAGGTTTGCCTCTGTCAATTGAGCTTAGCCCAGCTTTAGCCCCATAATACATGTTCAACATCAATTAACAAGAACTCTAAATAAAGGTGTACAACATCATATATGCAAAAAACGGACATGACAACTATAACTTGCTCATAAGCATAAAATTCTAAAGGATTCTCTATAAATGCTACATGCTAAAATACTCAAACTCTTCGCACAAAAATAAAAACTATGCAACCAAGACTACAAAAGCATATACATGGGATCAGCACATACATTCCTGTTTCCGAAGATTTCAAGTCTAAACTAGTTAGATCCTTCACCAATTTATTTCCATCCGAAACATGCTGAGTGGAAAGCATTGGACTCGCAGAACCTGCATAAATAATACAAAAGCCACACATTAAATATAAAGAACATGTATACGATAAACAAACACTATTATAAACCAAGAAATGAATCCAATGCTTGTAAAGTAAATCACACGCATAACAAAATTAATATAAAAGATAAACTTAAATCAACATTTTCTTTCTGTGGATGAATCTAAAGTTCTATTTTATCATTTGGCATCCAACTAAACAGTAAATTTCACTCAACTTAACTTGAACACAGCTAAAATAGCTACTTCATCGGATTTAAATTATTTAAACTGAAAAGGATAATGGAGGGAACCTGGCATGAGAGCATTTTCGGAAATGTAAGTATTTTTAGCAAGAACAGGCAACAGAAACAGAGCCAAAACCCCAGCAGTGCAGCAAACGACACTGAAATATCATCAAAGCGACAACCCATTAATAACAGACTTTAAAAACAAAATTGCAGAAAAATGGAAAAATCAAATTATATAAAGTGAAAGGTAAATAAGGCTACCTCACGAGGAAGCTGTGAGAGATGAGGAAGATTCCGAGGCGAACGATTGGCCTAACTCTGGGCTTCGGTTTTTCGTCTTTCTCGCTTGTCTCTTTGGTTTCCGCCATGATTTTTTTGAGGAGATTGAAATTTGACTGATTACAGTAGCAATCTTCTCGCTGTGAAGAGCTAAAACGAGGAAAGCGGACCTTGGATGAGCCGAGGAAAGGCAGAAAGGTGGAATTCTTCGAGCCTTGAAGAGAAATGGATCGGATCGGAGGGTGTGACTAAGGAGGTTGTTGGGTCGTTTTCAGGCTGGATTCTTTTCGGCCCGTTTAGTTCTTTTTGCAGAAAATCTGGCCCATTTACTTTTTTCAAATAAAATCAAATAAAATCCTAAAAATTTAATATGGAATTTTCAATATAAATTATTCAAAATTTAACATTAAAGTTTTCAATAACATGCATTTTAATGATGTATGTATATGAAAATCCTACCAATAATAAAAAATTAAATCAAATTTTAAATAATCAATTTGTTGAAAATTCTTAGATAATGGAATATATTTAGAATTTCACTATGTGTTGGGAGATTTAAAAAAAATTAAACATTAAAGTTTTCATTTACTATTAAATAAAATTGACAAGTGTTTAACATTAGAAGTAAAAAGATAATAAAAAAGAAAATAAAAAAAACTGGGACAAAAAATAAATTATTAAATAAAATCTTAAAAAGGGTAAATAAGAAATATGAAAATTATGAAAAATAAAATTTTATATTTGAATATTTCAAATACTATTAATACATTAATGTCCAAATTTAGTCAAAACGACATCATATCAGCTGGCTGCTGAAACGCACAGTTTTGTTAACAAACGAATAGATAAGTCGATAACGAAGTGATTACCGTTGGCCGTTGGTCTGAGAAGCAAACTAGCGCCAAGCTCAAGCTCCCGATAGAGTTTTTTCTACCCCCTCTTCGAAAGGAAATGATTTTGATCCATGAAATACCAAAATCTCCCTTCCTATGTATCTAATTTTACACCTCCATGGCCATCGCTCTGTCCTCCTCCATTCTCAAGCACAAAACCAAAACGACAGCGCTTCAAGTCTCCGGCTTCCGAGTTTTCGCCTCCAAACAGAAGCAAAACTGCAGATTTCCCAAAAGTTCTGTCAAAGAAATGCTCCGGGGGTTTGGGAGCTGTCCAGCCACGTGACAGCTGGTGGAGCCTCCGTGATATCGAAGCTCCAAAATCCTCATCGGAGAAGCCTGTTACTGTTTGGATAGCTCTTACTCGAATGTGGAGCTTGATCGGAGACGATAAGTGGATCATCTTTCTCGCTATCGGTGCTTTGAGTATAGCTGCTGTTCGTGCAATTCATAATCCAATTGAAAATTTTAGATCTTTCAAATTGATTTCTTTCTCATTTTGAAAATAAAATATTCAATTCTAGGTTTCGGAGATTTCGATGCCTAGGATATTGGCGGCGTCGGTTTTTTCTGCTAACAGCGGCGAGTCCGCAGCGTTTTTTAGAAGCTCGAGGGTGTTGATATTATTGTTAATTGTTTCAGGAATTTGCAGGTATTTTTATATTTTAAAAAATGTTATTAGCATTTGTTTGAAAATTTAAAATTTTTCTTTTTTAGCTTATTTTTTATGCAAATTTCAGTGGCTTGCGAAGTGGATGCTTTGCCATAGCAAATACGATCTTGGTGAGAAAATTGTCACTTGGCTTTGTCAATTTTACTGCTAGTTACTCTTTTGCTTCAGCAAGAAAATGGGAAACAGCAATGACTTTTATAGCATATGGAACTATTGTTAGTTGTTTGCTCTCTTTAACGAAAATGATTGTGCTTTAACTTCCTAGTAAAATCTGAGAAAAATTACAAATAAGTAGGCAACATGGCCTCACTTTTCCTGTCACTTTTGTAGTGACTACAATACTTTATTTGCAGGTTAAGCGTCTTAGGGGAAGCTTATTTGCATCTCTTATTTTTCAGGTTTGTGATCTAGTTGTGATTTTTAGTACCCCAGGTTGTGATGCATATAAAATTCATGAAAAATGAATGGATATATGTCTTAATTATCTATTTAGTAAAATACTGTTTGCTGCCGATGCTTTGGGTGTAGGATATATCCTTTTTTGACACAGAAATGGTTGGTAGCTTGACAAGTAGGCTTGGAGCAGATTGTCAGCGACTCTCTCATGTTATTGGGAATGATATTCATCTGATAATCCGCAATGTCATTCAGGTTTTGGTTTTTATCAGATATTTTATTATTTCTGAATATTTGTTTCATGGTAGAGTGTGATTGCATTTTCCTTTTGCATGTTTAGGGAACAGGTGCATTGATAAATTTACTGTCTTTATCTTGGCCTCTCACATTACCAACTTTGGTGATATGTTCTGTTCTGGCTATAATATTTTCTTTTTATGGCCGGTGAGTATCCTTTCTCTTTTCACCTTAATTCAGCTATCAGATTTTGCTTTTGAGCTTATTTAGAATGTTAGTTCAGTTTGAACCAAATCCTGTCTCAATCTTGTCTTAATTGCATCAGGATCCGAGTTTATGATAGATTGATCTGTTCTACTGAACTAAAGCCTATCCAACTCTATGTATGTTGTACTTATTATGCTTTTGCTGAATTAGCATGGTTGATGTTTTTGATAGGTACCAAAAGAGAGCTGCAATGTTTGCGCAAGAGTTCAATGCCTGTGCCAACAATGTAAAAGCACAAAACTTGTTTGGATTGCTGCAAGAGTTCTGCTACTTGAATAACATTCTAATTTAACCAGTTTCTTTTATGTAGGTTGCACAAGAAACACTTTCTTTGATGAGAACTGTCCGAGCTTATGGAACAGAAGGAGAAGAACTTGGAAGGCACCATTCTCTCTGGAATTTCTCCATTAAGCATTCTTAATTCTATGGGTTTATTTTTTCTTCTTTGATTGGCAATTCTTTGGAAGGCACAGACGTTGACACCCAAGGCTTTTGTGTCAGGAAATTGTTAGTAATTTTTATATTGTTAATCCTGTTGGTGTTAGGTACAAGCAGTGGCTGGATGAACTAGGTTTTGTAAGCATTCGGGAGAGTGTGGCTTATGGGTTCTGGAATATGAGTTTTCTTAGCCTTTACCGTTCAACACAGGTTACTTACCTTTCACGCTTTACCTTTGCCTCTGGTTGGATGAATGACACTGCAAATGATAACATGTATGAAGATGGATTACAGTGACCAAGAAATAGTCCTAACATGAACGAAGATCTATTGTATGATTCATACTTTTATTTCAATATCATATTTTGCAGGTTCTTGCGGTGCTGTTAGGAGGAATGTGCATTATGAATTCCCACGCATCAGCTGAACAGCTCACTAAATACATATTATACTGTGAGTGGTTGATTTATGCTACTTGGAGGGTGGTAGACAATTCATCATCACTATTGCAATCCATTGGAGCAAGTGAAAAGGTCTTCCAATTAATGGATCTCTTGCCTGCTGATCAATTCTTCTCAAAAGGCAAGCATTGCTTGTCTCTTTTTGAGGGGATATCCCATATGCATAGATATTCTTCAGATTAATGGGGTTGTGTTTCGCTTCATTTGGTTCAGCTTTCATCATATGACATGCTGTGAGAAGCACAATTTCTTGCCTCTTATTATGATTCAAATTATTGATTCTGCATGGAATCGCTTAAACAATTTGCAGAACTTTGCATTGTCTTTTTATCTGTGTAACTTCTAATATGTAAACAGAAAGAAATGCTGATGAAAGATACTGGAAATGAAACGAATATTGATGAATTTAGAGTCATGACTGTTTCTATTTTAGCAATTTGATCTTCTAATTCCTTTTTGATTCAGAGCTTTATTGTGAATCTGGTGTTTTCATTCAAACTAAGTTTTCTTTCAAGTAACGATTTTTTTTAATTGTCTGCCAAGTTGTTTACAGGAGTGAAGCTGCAGAGACTAATGGGAAATATCCGGTTTGTGAATGTATCTTTTCACTATCCTTCACGGATAACAGTATGTGTCATGTCCTTGTAAAGCATCATTACATGAGATTCTAGATTTTTATGTGGCTTCCTCTGCATGCTATAATTGCCATCATCTTAACATTCATCATTAAGATTTTATTAAATCCTTCAACCGGGGAAGGGATTCTAGAGATATGTCGGAGGGCCAACCACCATTGCACAACTCCATCCTTTTTAAAAGATAATCCACATAACTAAATTGGATCAAGATAAGGTCCTCCTCCTCTTCCTGATTTCCCCATGTGATAAGAGTGGATTAAAAGAAAAAACACTCTCTGTTGTCTCTAATTTTCTGATATTTTCCCAGGTACCTATACTAGATCATCTAAACCTTTCTGTACAAGCAAATGAAGTGGTTGCAATTGTAAGAAATGCCATTGCATGGTTATAACTCTGTCTTCAATTGGAGTTGAAACAAGTTTTTGCAGTTTGACAACTCATTCTTATCTTGTTAAGGTTGGTTTAAGTGGTAGTGGAAAAAGCACACTAGTGAATCTTATGCTTCGTCTCTATGAGCCAGTAAGTGGACAGGTTAGCTTTCTCATTCTCTCATCTCCATATCATCAATTTGAATGAGCTGTCACAGGCTCTCGGCTATGACGGTCATTATTCTCGTTTCAATAGTCTCTTGTACTTATTATGCTGTTCCCTTTTTGTTTTAGTTTTTTTGTAATGCACCTAATGAATTACTGGTACTCTGGAAGTTAGGCAGAAGGGCTTACATGCTAGGTGCCGCTAATTGCAGATATACATAGATGGTCTCCCACTCAAAGAGTTGGACATCAGGTGGCTGAGAGAAAAAATTGGATTTGTTGGACAGGTTAGGCTACATATTTCATTTTCTGTGAGGCATGCTTGAATATTGCTATGCAATATACTCTAATCTGCATTTCAGTCAGGACCCCCATCTTTTCAATATGGATATCGAGTCAAACATTAAATATGGTTGCCCACGGGATGTTGAAGAGGAAGATATAGAATGGGCTGCAAAGCAGGCCAATGCTCATGAATTTATTTCATCTCTTCAACTTGGGTACCAAACCATTGTTGATGGTAATTTGCTTAGTGGGGGACAAAAGCAACGAATTGCCATTGCTAGGGCCATCCTAAGAGACCCTGCAATTCTTGTCCTGGATGAAGCGACCAGTGCTCTGGATGCAGAAAGTGAGTACAATGTCAAGGTAAGGACATAAATAAAATTTTCCGAATAGGTAAAATGTAAAAGAAAACGAAATTTGTTGCGGGTCTGTGTTTGTTGTTACTGATGCATCACCTTCTATGATCTATAGGGGGTTCTTCATGCACTGAGAAATGAAAGTAGAGCTAAAAGAACTGTCATTATCATAGCCCATAGGTAAGCTCTTTTCCTTTTTTCACCTCCAGTCATTTCGATTTCTATTTTCAAGTTTGATCTTATTTGGAGCATGGAAACTAATAAACTTTGCAGGTTGTCTACCATTAAAACCGCCGACAGAATTGCCGTAATGGACGGTGGTCGAATTGTTGAGGTAGGATCTCTTCGTCTATTCTATTCCAAATGATCATGTATCTTCAATCAACCATAGCCCACTTATGCATCTCTGGCTTTATTTGTGGTCAGATGGGTGACCACACTGAGCTTCTACTCAAGGGTGGGTTTTATTCTCGATTAGTCAGAGCCCAAGCAGAATCCCTGGCTTGATCCTAAAATCCTAGGACATAAAGTACTGGCTGTTGTGTTCTTCCCTCTTTTGCAGCCACTGTGTCCCTTATCATACGATGGAAAAAAGAAAGGTGAAAAGGTATATGCAAAGTTCCAGTATCTTCACTTTTAGTTACAACAAAACAACAAATAACAAAAAATACAGTTGTAGAAGAACAGATGAAAGAGGAGCGATGGGATTAAGATGTGATCACTTGTTTCATCATAGATTCTCAAGGGCTTCAGTGGAGAAATCTCCTGGCTGAGGAACTTGCTGGTGAGGTAGGCCTTTCACTCCCTCACTTTCCTTCACTGCTTTCTTCCCACTTCTTTCCCTAGCATCCAAATTTTCCTTCTTTCGAGCTTCATCATCAACACCCGGTGGCTCATCCACCACACCTTTAACTTCCATAACCGTCTTGCCTTTCGTTTCGTTGCTGGTTTCTTGTTTCTGTTGCTTTCCATGACCAACAATTACCGTAGCTAACTTTTAAGATTTGTTGGGCTTTTTATATGTACAATTAAATGTATCTGGTTTTCATCAAATGGGTGGCATTAGCCGTGCTTGAAGTGCAACACGTATAGTGTTTTGGAGGCAGCTTTAACACGTGTCTTTGAGCCTGTTCTTCGATTTCATGCGCTGTATACTCATCCTATGGCGTATGCCAAATGGCAAGTTTGCCTAGTGACCTTGGATTGAACCGTGTGTCAAAGATTGAAAACATTTTGATATGCTAAATCTTTCTTGGAGGAGTTGTAGGTGCTGAGTCAGATTCGGTTTGGGATCCGTAGGTTGTTGTCACTTTCTCGTTAAGGCTTGCATGCTTCAGTTTCAGTCTTGGAATAACAACGTTTTGTGAACTCAACCTTTTCGTACTTGCAGCAGTAGATTGGGTTATTTGGCCATTAACTGGTCTTACTTTTTTTCCTCTTGACAACAGTAGATGTAGGAGCCTCAACGGTAGGTTTATTGTCCTTCATCAAGCAAATCTCTTTACACATGGAATTAATACAACCTCCAAATTCAGGTTGAGGTGAGAACACTGAGCCTTTAACAAGATGGAGCAGCTATTCATATGCCTTAAGATATTCACTCTTTAAAATAGTTTGTCAAGTACCTAATAGGGTCTTCTCCCTCATAGTAGATTACATTGATTGCATGTTGGCATGACATTCCGCTTATGTCCCAAGCCCTGTGGCTACACGCCCCATTCCACGAACATACCGAGTAGTTTCCTCTCACTTGTTTATCAACAATTTCCCAAAAGATTTCATGAAGATGATCCTCATTCCAATTCATCTCTCATTTAATTGCCAACCACCATATTTCTCTAATTTACTGAGTATATGAGAGAGTTATACTCAGTTTTCCACTTCCTTGTCTATTCCCTATTTCGAACCAATCTTCTCATCACATAAAGCCTTAGATTCTCGAGCATGCTGATGATTGATTTGCAGCTTGCTTTTATTATAGCTTCATTTAATGTCTCGCTCATGTTATTGTCAATGACATCACATTCAGAGAAATCAAAGAAGAATGCTTGACACTAGTGAACAGCATTCTAATTCTTAATTAAGTTGTTGTGTGCAGGCTCATTTTTGAACTCTTTAGCTAAAGTTCAAGAGGCAAATGGAATTTTTGAGATCCATGAATGAGTTTGCATAAAACAACTTGGTTGAGAATTAGGATGTTGTTCACTACTATCAAGCATTCTTCAAATGACCTTTTTCACCTAGGCTAAACTTTAATAAGTGACATTTTGATTAATGTTAATTAATTAAAAAATAATTTTTTAACCCTTAAAGATAAAGTGATTTTGGAAGTAAACTTTTTCATAATTTTAATTAATTTTAGTTAAGAGAAAAAATTTTTGAACAAAATTGCCTTGAGTGAAATTTAAGCTCACGTAAAAAAAATGTTATTATATGTCCTATTAAAAAAATTTATTGTATGTCATGTTAAAAATAATTATTTTATATAATGTAGAAAAAAAATTATTACATATCATGTTGAAAAAAATGATCGAAATTTGACATTTTATTGTCAGATTTGACCACAAGATGATAGATTAGTATAAAGAAGCATTGTCGACTGATTTGAGAGAAAAGAATAAAATAAGAAAAGCAAATATGTATTTTAGACATTTCATGTTTAGATATTAAAGTCGTATATACATTTGGAACATCATTTACATATTTGAGATGGAGTATTTTTTTTAAAATTAATGAATTTGTGTCTAATTATAATTAAAAATTTTAAAAATTAATATATTTTATTTTAAATTGAATTTGTTTTATACAAGGCAACCCCAAAACCTAAGTACATACAAACAAAACTTGCAGCCCAACAAACCGACGAAACCCAACTGAGCCCAGAAAACAAGCACCCCAAAAAGCACAGAAACCAGACAAAAGTACAAAAACCACCCAACTGAGCCTAGCCCAAGAAGCGGATCAAAGCCCGAGAGAGAACCTAAAATCCTTCCACTGAGTGAACAGATGGAAACCAAAGAATAACTTTTTTGATAAAAAAAATTAAAAAAAAATTGAACCAAATGGAATTTAAATGATAAAATTCAAATTTGTGACATAAAAAAAGAATACATGAACAGTGTCTTAAGCATGTAGTATGTGCAAACAGTCGGTTTGATGTTAAAATTTTAAAAATTAAAAAATTAAATTTATTTTATATAAAAAACTGAATCAAATTGAATTATTATACTTAATTGATTCAATTGAAAATTGAATTGTTTTGACCGATTTTAAAAAATCAAATTGAAATCAATCCTTTATAATATTTTATCAATTTTCAAGATAATATGTTTAACTATAAATTTCAACGTGATCAAATAAATTTAACAATAGTTTAAATTTAATAAAATAATCACTAAATATTCTCTAAAAGCAATAAAGATGTCTATTCTCTATCTGATGTTGTCATTGATTTTTAATCATAATTATGATTAATTTTAAATTGGAGTGAGAAATCAAATCAAGTTAAATTAAAAAAAATAAAACCATAATAAAATCATAAAGAACTACATTATTATTTATAAAAATATTGACTACATGTAATTTAAATAAAATAAATCAAAAAGATTGACTTCATCCCATCAAGCCGTTCTTCTTCTTTTGTTGTGATCAGATAAGAGAGTCTCCCAAGCTTGACGGACGATCTTGAAAGCACCCTCAGCTGCGATCGAATCATTCTTGTCAGGATGGACCAATAGCGCCACTTCTTTATAATGTTTTTTAATCGTAGCCAAATCAACTGAAGAACAATCTTCGATAAAAAGAATTGAATATAGGACTTCAGTATCATTTATCTTCATCTTCTGGCAAAGGCTTAGCATCGAATTAAACTTGTGAATAAGATAAGCTGCAATATACTCCTGGACGATTCGTAACTCAGGATTCAAATCAAGTGCTGCGAACCCTTGTTGGATGGCCTTGTCGATATTTCCTAACTTGAAGTATTCTTCTGCAGCTGCTTTAGCATTTTCAGTAGCGATTTGCGTGAGTTGAGATTGGCAGAGACCTTGAAGACGAAAATCTGCCATGATAGCACAATTTCTTCAAAGAGAGTGAAAAATTGATATTCAAGAATGGTTAAGATTTTTGTGAATTATTAAAAACAGTAATTATATTAATGAAAACTTAGCTTCAAAATAAAGCTAATATTTTTGAGTTATAGGATGAATCAACCAACTCAAATTCAAATTCAAAATCAAATCAAAATTTTTTTTTTTGATTTAAAAAGAAGGGATAAGATGGGAATTTGAGTTAGTAATGATTTGAGTTAGTAGTGATTTGCCAAAGCATGAATGCCATAACCGGTCTCAAACCGATCTGGAAGAAGACTCCTCATAGCATAAGGACAGCTTTGGAGAAGGAGAGTTCTGTACAATTACATCCAAAACTGCTTGATAAGTAAATGCAGTATCCAAGGTGCCCTTCCTTCAACAAAAACTGGGCAATCAGGAACGACAAACACAGCTGAAAAGCACATGATCAGACCATTTCCTTGCTGCAAAGCTTGGAACCACGGAGAAGCAGCTGGGAAAGATCATGCGACAAGGAACATCCGTAGAAGACACGCAAAAGGATCAAGTGAGGGACCTGTTGGGAGTGCATGTTGGCTTCAACTCCCTCTCTGTTCAAGTAAACTAAAGGCCATCAAAACACACCTTCAGCTCGACAATCCCGAGAGAGGTGAGCAGTTAATGTATTGGAAAGAGGGGGGGATTTGGATTCTATCACTCCTAATTCAACTCAAAAGATTTATGAAGAAAAACAAATTTTGCAAATTGCAGATTAACCCAAACTTTCAGCAAGTAACCCTCGATCAGCATGAGAAGGATCATTGTAACTTCTACAAGGAATTTTATTCCCTGTTTTTGAGTGGAATGATTAATTTTTTTTAAAAAAGAAAAATCTCCAATTGCTGCATAACATTGCTTGATACTTATTGATCCATTGATTATAGTTCCAGGCAGACATAACTTTACAAGTTTACCCAGGCCTGATGAACAGAACATGAAAGTTTTAGTAGCTAACTAAAGGTAGAGTTGCCCATGATAGAAGAGACCAAAAATAACTTTTAAACAAATGGAAATCCATGTGTTTTTCTTGAACTGATGATATTGCAATTTTTCAGTAGGCATCAGGATTTGCCAGGATGTAAGCTTAAACAGGTTGTATTAAGGAATTTGTGTCAGAAATATACAGAAGACAATACACTCAATATCATTCACACTGGATAGCTTGATCACACATCAATATTTTTAGTAAATATTTTTTCCATGATCCTTTATTTAGTATTGCAGGTGACAATTATAGTTCAAGCTTCCCCGTATTTGAGACAAACTATGAACTCTTATTAGCAATCAGAAGGGCACATGGACCAACAACTGCAAAAACTAAAAACCAGTTAAAAAAAAAAAAACCAAAAGAAAAGGTATCTCTCTCACTCTAGCACATTTGTATGATAATGACAATTGAAGTGGATGGTATCTCAATATTGGGATTTTTAGTAGGCATCAGGATTTGCCAGGAGGTAGGCTTCAACAGCCTTGAACATTCCCAAGGCCTTATCTTTGCCTATCTACTGTTAAACTTTTTAATCTTAATTGATTTTATTCATACTTTTTCTTTCTCTAACTCATCTTTTAACCTTTTTACCTTCCAAAAATGTCATTTAGACCCAAACTTTTATGCTATCTTTCTATAAGATTCAAATTACCTTTTTCACCTTTTATAAGGCTAAAACTTTTTTTTTTACACCTTTTTTACCTTTATACAACTCAAATTTGCATATAAAAATCATCATGATTTTAAAAAAAATAATATTCCTAATTTAAAGGGATTTGAAAAGTTTTTGAATGCTGAGATAAAGTTGGATACTGAAATAAAAAATCCATTAATAAATTTCAAATTAGTACTAATAAGTATTTTAAAATTATATTTTATAATGGTAAATATCACAAAATTTACCTTATGTACTTCTTTGGTCAAACTAGTCAACTCCGAAATGGGCGAGGACTGTGACTTTAAAGCAAAACGACGACCAGATGAAAGCACCTGAAATTTCCAACGACAAACAACATGAAACCCCGGTCGGAGACCACGTGACAAGCACAATCCGTCCGTTTTGATCTAAAATTGCCTTGCCTTTTGTATCACCACCAATCCTCTCACGCCACGTACTCCTCACCGTTCGCCCTTTCCGTTCCTCGTAAACCCCCTCTAAAACCTCTCCTCTACTTACTTCTCTTAGGGCTTCTTCCTGTTTCTTCTCCTTAGAGCTGAGCTCGCTGTAGCTAAATTTTTGCTATGCACAAACCTTCATAGCTCTGGCTTTAGTAAATTTCGAGGTTGAAGATGATTTGGCTCAGTTTGTTGCTTATTTTAACCGCTTCGTTAACGGCGGTGACCGGAACGACGTCGCATTCGAGCTCCGGTCCTCACATAGCCGACGTCAACATACTTTTACCTCCAAGAATGACAAACCCCGTCGAATATCGGCTTCAAGGAAGCGACGGCTGCTTCAAATGGTACTTTCCCTATAAAACATTTCCAAGAATACGTACATTTCTGCTTATACGAATACGTATAACTTTGTTGATTTTGTTTTGCAGGTCGTGGGATCATCATGAGATTTTATCAGTTTTGCCGGAGTATAATGTGACCAATCATTGCTCGACAAGTGCACGGCTGAGATCGATTGCGCCGTATTCCGGTAGAAAAGAAACGGCGGTATATGCTAGGGACGTGTACACTGGAATCGTGATTCGCTGCAAAGTTTTCATTGATAATTTTGATAGAATTCGGATATTTCATAATTCTATTAAGCTTGATCTTGATGGCCTCGCTACGCTCCGCGTTCGTGCCTTTGATAGTGAAGGTAATTTAACAAAAAAGGCTAATATCCACTCTGTTTTGTTGTTGCTTTTGATAATTAAAGAAAACGATAATGCTGACGAATTAGGAATTAAAAGAAAAAATGTAAACACTCGAATGACAAGATGAAAGATATTGGTTTTATACGACAGGTTATAGTTGTTTACATTTTACATTTTAGTCTTTTTTTTTTCTGTTTTTACACACCCTTAGTTAAGTAAGATTTTGCTTAATTAGCAGAAAACAAGTAGTAAAGGCAACTTTCAAAGGTAGCATTACGTTCTAAACTCTTTAACTAGCTTAAAAAATGTGCAATGTCGATGTGTAGTATGATACAGTTACAAAAGCTACTGTGGGTTATTGTAATAGCTGGCAAAATGAACCCAAACCTGGATTTTCATTGAAAAACCCAAACTTGAACCCGACCACACTTGAATTGACCAAGAGGCTAAAGACCCGAATCTGAAATGATCTGAACTTGTAAGAATCTGAACCCTAAAGAATCTGCACTTGAAACAACTTGAGCCTGAGACTGAACCAACTCAAAGCTGCAATAACCCAAACTTAAACACTAAAAATGCAAAATGTAATAACTAGTTTCATTCCAATCCGAACTTGAACTGAACTTGAGATGAACCGAACCCAAAATGACCCGATCAGAACCTGCAAGAACATACGTGTTTGCCACCTCTAGTTGTTGTACTATTTATTTGTAGCTTAAGGTTAATGTAATAACTAGTAATGCACTTGTGATCCTATGGCTGAGGGCTTTGCTTCTTGCATTCTTGTAATTAATTGCTAGTCCAATTTGTACATTTCTTATTTCTGATACTGCATCTTGTATTACGTGTTCTCTCATGTTGAAGAACATTCATCCTTATTTAACTGGGTTTCCTGTTGTTTTTCTAATTTTTTAGGTTTTGTTGTATTCACCTTTTACTTGTGTTTCAGACAATGTGTTTTCGTCCTTGGTGGGTTTACAATTCATGTGGCAGCTGATGCCTAAAACCAATGGACCGCAACATCACCTGGCCCATGTTCCTTTGAAGGATTCTCCCCTAAGTGACTGTGGTGGATTGTGTGGTGACTTAGATATCCAGATACAACTTGAAGAAAAGGTACCCATTCTACAATTTCAATAGTAATGAGTTGCCATGTCCTCTTGCTTTTATGTTGAAGCTTATTCTTTGGAATGTGCTGCAGGGTGTATTTTCTGATTTATTTGTCACAAGAGGCATTCATATTGGCCATGAGAATGTTTCGGTGCAGTTGCTTGAGCCAATGTTAGAGGGCATGGGTGATAAGATTGTTCTAACTGTGGCTGAAGCTATGTCACTAGATCCACCATCACCTGTTTTTGTCCTTATTAATGCTACTCTTCGTTATAGTCTTAAGGTTATCCGTGGGACTGTTCCTCAAGGTTTTTTTTTTTGAATCCTTTCATAAAGACTTTCTAGGGATTGAATTAATGGGTGTTTCTTTATGCTGTCAAGTTCACACGGGGTAAACTGGCTGTTGATTGTTTCATTCATCAATGTTCTTAGAAGAAGTCTAAGTAACTTTCCACTGGTATTTGCAGAGGTAACTCTTCCATCACCACATCATCAATGGTCTGTCTCAAACTGTTCAGTTGCTCAAGTGGACTCTATGCTGGGTGTCATTAATGCACTAACATTGGGGGAAACAACTGTCATTGTTGAAGATACTAGAGTTGATGGCCATAGTCAACTGTCATCTCTTAACGTGGTCTTGCCAGATACACTTTCTTTGTACATATCACTGTTATCTACTTCTGGTGATCCATTAGAAGGAATGGAACCCATTCCATCTGTGGCACGTTGGTATGTTGTTTCTGGCAAACAATACCTTATTCAACTGAAGGTTTTTTCTCTGGGACCTTACACACATGAAATCTACATTACAGAGGTAAATTATGAATTACTTATATTTTCACCATTTAGCTGTGATATAGGTGAGCTATGTTGTCTTTGTAACATTAAGAACTTTTTGGACTGATGTGCTTGATTAGGTTCTCATACTTTCTTCAGTTTTTGGTCTTCCTTTTATTCCTCTTTATTTCCCTTTGGTTATGCTTCGATGGTCAATCAGTTTTGAGGTTAAAAGTTGTTGTTATTGTCATTTGTTAGTTCAATAGTGTAATTTGATATGCTAATTAGTTTCTCATTATTTTCTTGGTTATTTTCCACTCAGACTTCCTTTCCTGCATTGCAGAATGATGATGTTGAGTTTTATGACAACCAATCTGGGTACTGGAAAATTGTCCCAGTGTTAGAGCCTATTGCTTCTAGATATGGCTGGAGGTATTCTAGAATTTTGAAAGCAACTTCAGAGGGAATGGGGAAATTGACAGCCTCTTTAGTATACTATAATGGGCATCATGATACTACGGAGGTGAGATGTCATTTACCTCAGAGGGACTGGGGAAATTGACAGCCTCTTTTTCTTTTCTTCTTATTCTTTTAAGAAACAAGATTGTAAAAGCATCAGTATGTTTTCTGATTTGCTTGTTTGCCATCAATGATCCGCTTATAGCTTTTGCTAGGAGACTAAGTTCTCTCTTGGCCTCGTCATTCAGGTTCTCAAGGTTGTGCAAGAAGTTATTGTTTGTGATCCAGTAAAGTTTAGCTCGGAAAAAATAACTGGTGAATCTCAAATTATTCTTCTTCCCTGGGCACCTGCTGTTTATCAGGAGATGGAGCTAAAGGCTACTGGAGGTTGGTAGCATTTTACCTGTTGAATTTTTGAAATAATTTTTTCAAGTTCTAACATGTTTTAATGGGATTCAACACTTTTATAGGTTGTGCAAAAACCTCCAGTGACTACAAATGGTTTTCTTCAGATATGACTGTTGTTTCGATCACTGCATATGGAGATGTCCAGGCTAAGAAGCCTGGTAAAGCTACACTGAAGGTGGTGTCAAGTTTTGATTCATTCAATTATGATGAGGTACTGAAATTTCAGAATCTTGTTTCTTCTACTGCTTTCTGTGTTCTTATAGTTGGCAAAGATCCTTGTGTAGTATGAAATTAGTAAAAATCATGTGTTTATGCAGTGGTGTTACTGCTTTTGTCGTTGATGCATAAAATTCTGAAATATGGATTATCTTGTCTGTTTTATGCCCTGAAAAAGCTTCCAGTTTCACATGCCCTTCATTAGTTAAAGTTTTCTTTTGAGCTTATTTTTTGTATCATTTTTAACAGGTGGTGGTTGAAGTTTCAATTCCATCCTCTATGGTTATGTTGCAAAATTTCCCTGTTGAGACTGCTGTGGGATCACATCTCCCAGCTGCTGTTACAATGAAAGCATCAAATGGTTATGCTACATTCCACAATTATTTGGAAACTTAATTTCTTCCCTGCCAACTCTTCTGAAGTTGACTTGCCATTTGCAGGTGTCTACTTTTCTAGGTGTGATGCGTTTCATTCCTTTATAAAGTGGAAAGCTGGAAGTGAGTCTTTCATTGTTACCAATGTAACAAGGGAGGTGCCAGTCTTTGAAAAGCAAGAAAATTTGGAACTTCATGCCCCAGTGTATGGTCCTCCATGTTCATGGACTTATGTATATGCTTCTGCATCTGGTCCAGCTATGCTGCACGCAGCATTTTCAAAAGAATTTCATCATTTTGATCCGTCTTTTAGTGGGCCCATTGTTTTAAAAGCAACTTCACGAATTGCAGCATATCAGCCACTTACTCTGCATCAAGCAGGTGATGGGAACCATTTTGGTGGTTACTGGGTTAATACAGCTGGAGCAGAAGCTGGTAATCAATTAGAAAACCTGGATAAGTTATATCTTGTCCCTGGAACACTTTTGGATGTCATGCTTCATGGAGGACCAGAAAGGTGGGACAAAGGTGTTGACTTCATGGAAACAGTGGAGATTGTTGATGAAGAACATGCACGTGAGAATGGGGTTCATATGCATCAGATTTCTAGCAGCCATGGCAGTTTGTACAGAATTTTATGCCAAACAATGGGGACATATGTAAGCTACTGCACTATTTCCTGGAAGGCCCTTTATGAGTTTCAATTGAAGTCCATGCACCAACAATTTCTTTTCTTATATTGTGGTCTATCTAATTCAGAATCATGATATATTTGCTTTCTGTGGTTCCAAATTGTTCAGAATCTTGTTTTTAAACGTGGAAATTTGATTGGAGATGATCATCCTCTTCCTGCAATAGCTGAAGTTTCATTGTCTCTTGCATGCAGCCTTCCTTCCTCGATTGTGGTAATAGTGGATGAACCTGGTAAATATAATGATTTATGTTGGACAGATGTGAAATATGGCCTTTGGTTCCTTCCTGCACTTCTTTCTTTAGCCCCCTTTTTAATGATGTTGTGTGCTATTGGCCTGATGCTACAGTTAATGATCGAGATGTTATACGGACAGCTATTCAAGCTGACCGTAGCCCAGGGCAAATTCATGTTACCCCTGTTACTGTAGCAAATGGACAAACTATAAGAGTGGCTGCAGTCAGCATTAGTACCTCTGGGGAGCCTTTTGCAAACTCTTCTTCAGTGTGCTTGAAGTGGGAACTAGGCAATTGTGACAGTCTAGCTTATTGGGATTATGCTTATGATTCAGAGAGCTCTAAAAAGTCTAGTTGGGAGAGGTTTCTGGTCTTGCAAAATGAATCAGGATCGGTACTGATGTTGATATTTATATTAATTTCTATCTCTTATTTTCAGTTATTTTTAGCAATATCTTGGCCATGAGCTAACAGGCGCGAAGCCATCATTTCTTATTAAGATGATTCTATGTATAGTTTTTATTTCCTTCAGGAAGTGCATGTTGGGTTTGATGCTTCATTGTTGTATGCAATTCTTTAAGCTGTGCAAGAATAAGCATTCTCAGTTATGGGGTTATATATAGTCCTTGCCCTTCCACTATTTATTTGTGCATTCATACTTTTCTTCAATATGTTTTGCTCTCTAGGTCTCATAACGATATTTTTTCCAAGGTTTGGTGATAGTCTTGTGTTCACCAAGGACTGGATGTTTTCTCGTAGGTGTGTCAATTTGTTTTACTTAAGGGAGAGGTGGTGAGAGGTCTTTGCCAAAATGAGGAGGGGGAGGTTTGAGGAAAGTGTGGGTTCACTCATATACAAAGAGGGTAACTGTGCTAATAATTTTTTAAATTAAAAAAAAGATATCTATCATAGCATAAAATATTAATAGTATCTTGCGGCAATAATATCTTTAAGTTGTTAAGCATGATAAAAGTGCTTTTGGGTTCAAATTGGCTTTAAATTGGCTTCAAATAGAAGTTGGTGGTATACATAAATACGCTTTTGCAGCATTTTAGTATCTACTATTGGTTTCCAACTGATTAGCAATCAAGTTATAGACACATAATTCTCGCATATTAGGTCATTAGAGTAACTACAGTAGCAAAAGATTACCTGAATGGGAAGCCCTCATCTGCTTCACCATCTTTTGTGTTTTTATCCTCACTTGTTAATAATTATGAACTATTTGGGCGTAATGAGTTTTTCTTTGATATTTCTGAGCAATTATTTTACCTGTTGCATTTAGAGGTTGTACAAGTTTGACAATTTGTATTCTTCCTAGCATTTAATTCTTCTTATTGTTGGTAATTGTAATTATATCAATAGACATTGTTTACCACTGATGTGTAATTTTCTTGCTAAGATTTTAGAACTTCTGTACTGTTTTGATGGTTGGCCTTAGATTGGTTTTCAGTCCCTCCATAAGTATTCGATACTTGATGCTACTTTTTTCTTCTCATGATGTGTTAAGTTGTGATAAAATGAGATTATAATTTCTTGTTTCTCAGTGTATTGTTCGTGCCACTGTTACTGGATTTTTGGGTACTTCCACGGCTGATCGTTATTCTGCTAAATTGCTAGAAAGTTCCAATAATTTTCTAACAGATGCTGCACGGTTACAGGTAGGTTATTTTGGCAGGTTTATATTCCCATCTTTGTTGCATAAAATTCATTAAATACCTTCCTCTGTGATTTGTCACGTTATGAGTGATCTATTCTTGCAAGATTGGTTCTCCCTCTCTCTTTGTTTTTAATTTTTTTCTATTAGCGTTATTTATTTATCTGTTTTTTGTGTTTAACATAGGATGAAAATTTCATTCTAATATTTTGATTTGATAACATCGGCAGCTTGTTTCTACTCTAAGAGTCAGTCCGGAGTTCAATTTGTTATATTTCAATCCTGATGCGAAGGTAGATTCTAGCACCATCCCTGCTTACTTGATTTGCTGATTTTAAATGAATATGCATTACGAATGCCCTCGAAACATGTTTGATGATGTTGCTGTGGTAAGCACTACTTTGGAATTTTATTTGATCATTATCTCTTTGTGATATGCATTGCCTTAGAAACATTTGATGATTTTCATGTGGCACCTATTTTTGCTGATGGTTATATGTTATGGAGTTTGATGAGTGAAGAATGGAACTCTGGCAAAATGAATCTAAATTTTTCCCTTTAGTGAACTTGTTTGCCATATATTCATTTAATTGTTTAACAAAATGGTGACAGTTGCTGTTTTGATTTTCTGTTTTTTGGGCTGTTGCATTCTTGCAGATCTAATTATTAGCTTGGAAAATCTGTTACTGTGGTCTGCTTGCTAGTTGTTACTTTTGGAATTCTATGAGGATTACTATTTTGCATATCTAATGACTAATGATTAGCTTGGATTACAATGTTACTGTGGTTCCCTTTCTAGTTCCTACATTTGCAATTTAATAGATGATGGCAGTGCTTGCTCTTAAGCCTTCAATAAGTGAGTAAATGAATGGATATTTGAGGCTTCAAACCAATCATAATTTTATTGCAAAATAACTTTCATCATTGCATGTCCATGCGAGATAACTTGGAAAAAGATTAATGGTAAAATCTATCAGAATTATTGTAATATTTTATTACGATCGATTCATACCACCGATTTTAACAGTTTTATCTAGCCTGTATCATAGTATATTAGCCTCTTAAATGATCAGTCAAAAAGGAGATTGCACTACTAACAACATTTATGTAATCACTGCTCATTCTAAGGCTCTCAGAATGAGAGGCTCTTAACAGGATTTAGTATCTTCTTCCAGCTCCTATTTATTTGTTAATTATGGTGTTGCTCCTTAGCTGAAATAGAAGGGCAAATAAGGTTTTACATTTAAGGGCTATAACTATTTTTAGTGAGTGAGATGTTTAATGGTAACTAACTATTTTTAGTGTAGCATTTTGAGCAGCTCATCTTCAATCCTTCTCAGCCCAATTTATTTTCAAACTAGTCCTGTTGGTTTAATTTTGTTTTCCAGCACACCATATGTGCTTTTATTCGGGAACTGTGTCCATTTATAATCATCATACAATGTACTTCATCACTTTCTCCATTCAGGCAAATTTGTCAATTACTGGAGGGAGCTGTTTCTTGGAAGCAGTTGTGAATGATTCTCGAGTAGTTGAAGTTACTCAGCCCCCCCCTGGTTTACAATGCTTACAAATGATGTTATCACCAAAAGGCCTGGGGACTGCACTTGTCACAGTTTATGATATTGGGCTTGCTCCTAACGTTGCAGCTTCTGTCGTGGTAATCTCTTACTCGATTTTATTCGTCCTTTAAGATTTATGGGAAATTGTGTATGAAAACACTTTTATTTCTCCAAAAATATCATGCTTTTAATGTGTAGATACCTTCAAGAGAACTTCATTTGGAGTAGTTTAAATAAGAATTGCTGCTTAAAGTAGGTGCTTTACCTTAAGTCTCAAACTATTTTGAAATACATCGTCTATTTTGACCTTTAATGTTACAGATTCAATTGTGATACATTAAAGGAAAATGCTTTTTTATTTATTTAAAGTAACTTTTAGGCTCTATTTGGCTTGTGGCAAAGTTGAAGGAAAGGAAAGTATGAAGCAAATCCCACTGTGGCTGTTGATGCAATTTACATTTGAAAAATTATGTAAAAGCAACTTGCCCAAACACATCACTTTGTTGCCTAGCTCATTGATGTGATTTATGTAAGTTCAGATGGGAAGATTCAGTTACAAATCAACCCCTTTTTTAATTAAAGAAATATGTGGAACTATAATTTCTGAATCTTTATTATGCCATGTACATGAAAAAGTATCTTGAGTAATTACTTAGGTCAATTTAAAGTTTTCTTTCATTTGCATTGATTTGAAATGCTTGGTTAATATGAAATTACATCATGCTATGTTTTGGAACCTCTTTTGTGCTTCCTTTCATGCCAAGAGTATGCATTCTCCTACTGATGATACCTTCATGTTTGATATCTCAATTTGCTTGTAATTTATCATGGTGATGACCTTTTTACAGGTCCAAGTTGCAGATGTAGACTGGATTAAGATTATGTCTGGAGAAGAGATAAGCCTTATGGTGTGTTCTCCACTATAGCCTTTAATTAGTTAATCTTTTTTATTTCTTTTTTTTTTTTTGCTTTTAACCCAGAGCAGCATGTAATTGTCTGCCAATTTTATATTTGAAGGAAGGAAGTTCACAGTCAATTGATTTGATGGCTGGGGTTGATGACGGAAGCACTTTTGACATTTCTCAGGTTTGAAATGATTGCCCTTATCATTTTCCTAAAGCTCTATGTTCCAGATTATCTTTTGTCGAAACATGTTTTAGACTAAATGCTGTAGGAAGTGTGCTAGGTATTTAGACAAACTGAGTGTAACTGAATCTTGGTTCACATGTAGAGAGGTAACATCTGTTGTGAAGGAATGTATCCCTTTGACCTCTCATGCATTGGATCCTTTTGTGATGTCCAACTGGCTATGTTAGAAGTAAAAGATGTACACAGCTCAAAATATTTTGAAAACGTATCTCATAAAATAGTTTGTTTGAAGGTTTCTGATGTGTCTATGTCCATGCATCCATGTGTATGTCATTTTTTCACATTCTTTCCATTATCCTGATGGGATCCTTTCCTGCAGTATGCATACATGAATATTCATGTGCATATTGAGGATGATACAGTTGAACTTGTCGACAAGGATGATATCTCAGCTCCTGGTGGTGGATATATTGGTGCACAGAATTTTAAAGTTAGGGCAAAACATCTTGGCATCACAACTCTTTATGTAAGTCATTTTATCCTCTTGCCAATATCTTTTATGTTAGCATTTCTTAAGGACTCATTGAGATTTCTAGATCAAGGGTTTGGTTGCATAAATTTCACGATAGATCTTGATAACAGGTCAGTGGTAGAAGACATTCTGGCCATGAAATATTGAGTCAAGTTATAAAGGTTGAAGTTTATGCCCCCCCAACAATTCACCCGCTTGATATTTTCCTAGTACCAGGTGCCTCTTACATGGTATGCTTCTTTCTTTATTTGTTATTTATATTATGTTATTCTGTGAGCAGTTCTTTTATCATGTTGAGCTCCATATCTTCTCCCCCTTAACTCCTTCTTGCACCCTCTTTCCTACTTTTATTTGGAAATTTAATTCTTTTTTTCATGCTATTAATTGCATCTGCTATTACATTTATTTGTCATACTATTAGCTCACTATGAAAGGAGGTCCAACAATTGGTGCCTTTGTGGAGTATACAAGTATTGATGATGGCATCGCAACAGTTCACAAAACTTCAGGACGACTGACTGCAACTTCACCTGGGAACACTGTAAGATATGAGATATGATACTGATCTGATACTTAAATTAACAACTGTTTTGCTTTTCTATGCATATGCAATGATGCATTGCTTTGTAACTTTACCCTCATGAAGATGCTATAGTTTGTTGAGCACTTAGAATTTTCAAGTTTAACTAAACCAGGCAGTGCAATTGAATGGATTTGGGTTATGATGAAGGGAGACCTCTTGTGTGTGCACATTGTTGAATGTTCATATTAACAGTAGCTAGAACATTAGTTTGCTGTGGATGCATTGTCTTCTTATTGTTTGCAGTCATTTCTTCCCTCTCTTTCTCAATTTTCTACTGCCACAAACAGAAGTGTGAAAATCTCATTTGGACTCAGTAACCTTGCTAATAAACTGACAGCTGCTGTTACAAGAGTATGTACGTGGATAGCTAATAAGTCTTTGTCAACTGTTCATTGTCATATTTGATAGGGTTAGAGAAAATGGACCCACTGCCTGTGCTACAGTGGCTTACATTAGTTCTTTTGGTAAATTTCATCATTTAAAATTCAATTAAGATCAAACACTTATCACCAGCTTGCTATATCACCAAGACAGCAAAACGCTACCACTTGATTTTCCCCTTAACAAACTAGTTTTAACTGTATGATAAGTTTTTAATTTAGATGTATCTTATGCTTTTATCATCAGACTTTAGTTGCTACAGTCTATGGCAACGGAGATAGTGTGATTTGTCAAGCATATGGCAGCGTTAAAGTGGGAGTACCATTTTCAGCAATATTGAATGTACAAAGTGAACAGCTTGCTGTTGGCCGTGAGACAACAATTTATCCTTTATTTCCAGAGGCAAGTATTGAGAGCCTGAAGAAATATCTCTATCAACTATTTCTTTTTGAATTTTGACTGAGTTCTTGTATTTTCAGGGAGACTTATTTTCTTTCTATGAGCTTTGCAAAGATTATAAGTGGACTATTGAAGATGAAGAGGTTGAATTAAGTGTTCTGTCCAATTGTATTTGTCTGCAATTTATTGTTTTGCCATCTGATTGAATATTAGTGAATTTTTGTATTAACATCAATTTCTCTTTGTTTTCTAGGTGTTGAAGTTTGGGGTCCCACTGGTTGGTTCAGAGGCAGTTCAGCGCTTGAGTACTGTGGACAAGGAAGAACTTAAATTTATTAATATCTTTTATGGAAGGTATAATTATGTTAATGAAAATTAGGCAATGTTTCTTTTGAATTACAGAAACTGATAACTATTATTGTGTTATTTATCCACTGCCTCATGTAACCAATTAGTCTTGGCTAATTAAAATGCATATAAAATATTCTGGGTTCAGTATGGACATAAGTTTAGTATTTTCCAATAGATACAGGTGATACATCAGCCATGGGAAGTGCGCTGCACTTGAAATTTCGTGTTTCTTTTTTTTTTCCTTTTGGAAGGGGTGGGGGTAGGAAGACCAGGATGAGTATGATTGTAGTTGTTCCTACTTCTGACAAATATGAAGCCTCCTCTATTAAAGCTTGCTGGAGTTTGAATAGTTTTTTGCTGCATCTAATTCATTTGATGGATGGGTAAAAATTGTGTTTTTTTTTTGCAGCAAATTTGTTTGGTTTTTTAGAACTTTTTAAGAAAATTTTAAATTGATTTTGTCTTTAAATGAAGGTATCCAATTTAAGATAAAGCATTTCATCTGTAAGGTCGACACAGCGGTATATATTCTTCTGAATATCCTTTGGAATATAACTATAGCTGAAATTAAGATAGTCATTTTTTTGAGTCCAAACTCTAGCAAATTGACTCTGGAATAGAAAACACAATCAATAAAAATTTCCTTTCTGCCTCTTTATAATAGTGAAGTTTGGTCTTAGGTATTGGAGGTTGTTGTGGGGAATGATGATATCTAGATTGTTTTCTGCCTAAGTTTACTCAATTGAACAACATTGGTCAAAAACATGATTTAAAACTGATAGGCACATGCTTCTAATGCTAACACATAGCCACTGAGCCTCAATGGCTCATTCAGATTTCTAACCTTTGAGTGACTAGAAATTAATGCTGGCTGTCTGAATCTTCTTTCTCATCTGACCAAACTCTACGATTACACTTGCTTTTCAAATGACCATTTATCTCTCTTGTCCAGGGCCCCTGGTAGGACGAATGTTGCAGTTTCATTCTCATGTGACTTCATTTCTTTTGGTTCACACTTCGAGGCAAGGACTTACAGTGCATCTATCTCACTATTGGTGGTGTCTGATCTTCCCCTGGCACTTGGAGCTCCAATCACATGGGTTCTTCCTCCCCATTATACCACGTCTAGCATTTTGCCTTTGTCAACAGAATCACACGGGCAAAGAGATAGTCAGAGTCGCAAAGGAAGCATAATCTATTCTCTATTAAGAAATTGGGAGGAAGCAACTGAAATTTCACAGCGTGCTGTTTCCATTGATGGGGATAAAATTAAAACAAAAGAGAGCAATAATCTTGCTTGCATTCAGGCAAAAGATCGCATCACTGGAAGAACTGAGATTGCTTCCTGTGTCCGGGTTGCTGAGGTATTTGTACAACCTTTTATATTTTTTTTTTGAAGGGAAAAAACACAGCAATATGTACGACCTTTTATATGTCCTGCTAAATTTCTAAGATATAGATCTAGCAAGCAGCTAATTTTCCTTTTCCATTCACCTTTTGACTGTCTAGCGTTATTACTGTCACCATGTGTTTTAAATTTGAACTTGTTACCCTAAGTTACATAGACTAATTTTATCAACGTCCTCATCATGCAATGGAAGTAAATGTTGAACAAAAGTTTCTCAACAATTTCATAATATCTTTTGGCAAATTGATTTTATTTCTGATCTTTGCATAAATTTAGTCTGCCTTTCCTTATGATCATCATAGAAGAAGCAATTGACATAAGCTGGCTAATCGTAGCTCATTTGACTATTTTTTTTTTTGAATAGCAGCTCATTTGACTATTTAGTCTACAGCATGATTACTTCATAGTTTTGGCGAATGTATTTGATATTGTGGGTTGATCCTCTTTCTATTCCTTTATAACTTTTTCTTTAATTGATGAATATTGATGTTTGCATCACTTCTATTGAGATTTATTCTATATAATTTGAAACTTTCCTGTTCATTCTTAAACTCAGTAGAGCATCTATGTTCTTTTTAGGTGGAGCAAATAAGAATAACAAACAAGGAGTTTCTGGTCCATGCAATTGATCTCGCTGTTGGTGCTGAAACTGAACTTTCAATAAGCTATTTTGATGCTCTAGGTATCATTGTTATCATGTTAGTTAAATTATATGCACTCTGTTATTTTAGATCCTAATCAGTATTCTCTTTTGATTTTGTATTTTGCTAGGAAATCCCTTTTATGAAGCATCTAATGTTATTCTCCCTTATGCTGAAACTAATTATCCTGATGTAGTCTTTGTTAACGCGACCCATGATACCAATACAATTCATCTCAAGGTCTGTTAGTCTCTCAACATTAATTCAACATTTCAGGAGATTAATTAAGGAATTTTTATTGTTTTGATTTCTATTGCTATGTATTTTTATCATTTAGAGTGTATTTGTGTGAAGGATCCCACATATAGTCACAACAATTTTACCTCAAGTAATATCATTTAATCATATGGTTCTGCATGAAGGCAATGCGACATGGTAGAGCTCTTCTACGAGTTTCAATTGACAATCGTCCACAGAAGTCAGACTATATGCTGGTACCTGCTTCCCCTTTTCTGAACCACAAATTATATTTTTGTCAGATGAACATGGCACAACATGCAACTTTCGATGCGCGCATGAACTGCGTTCAGTTGTTCAGGAATTTTATAAACTTTCTTCAGCCCAAATTATTTGAGGCTTTTCTAAAGACTTAAGGCCTTATTTTGACACGCGTTTATTCAAATTTCGTTACTTTTATTGCTATACAAAATGCTTTCTACGTATATCATTGCTTTTCTTCGCTTACATCGACTAAATCGGTTCATTTGTATTTTCAATAGTTTCTCTCCATTTCATAATAAGCTTAATCCTTTTCTTCAGATTTCAGTTGGTGCCCACGTGCATCCCCAAAACCCTGTCCTCCACCAGGGGAGTTCTATTAACTTCAATGTAGTAGGTGGGTTTATGGTGGAATATTAATTTTACAAAGAAATTATTATATTTCCTCTAATGCTTTACTGGTTTTTAATTATATGTGGTAGGTTCTGATGATAATACTTTACTTTTGGTTCATTATATGTGGTAGGTTCTGGTGATCAAGCTTCAGGTCACTGGCTTAGTGCCAATGAAAGTGTTATAGTTTTACACATGCAATCTGGACAGGCGGAAGCAGTAGGGGAGGGTTTGACCCAGGGTACTAAATAACCGTGAATAATATCTTTCACTGCATTAAATATGCTAGTTTTTAGAAAATTGATGTGGCAGATATCTTTCATCGCTTAACATTTTGATCATTGAGTTGCCATTCAACTGATTTATACGTTTGTTATTTCTGAAAAGTTTCTTTTGAAAGTTCTGGTGTCAAGCTGCAAACAACAGTCACAGTGCTACCTGGAAGTACTCTTGTTATGGATGCTCCAAGGGAGATGCTGACAAATGTTCCTTTTCCCTCACAAGGATATAGCTTCTCTGTGAAGTTCAGGTTTGTAGATATAGTTGAAGCTTTTAAGTATGTTATGCCAGCTTGCAATTTGACTCTATGGTTGATGTATTGGAGGCTGAGGTTATTCTGACATTTTAAGTGGTTAAGATGTAAGAAGACAACTAATTGCAAATCCAACTTTTAACGATTAGTAGGAGCATGCTACTCATCTGTGTCTTCCGAGAATGTAGCATTCGTAACATTGTTCAAATGAATATAAATTAATTTTGATCTGGAATAAGCTTGCTATGAAAAGTGGTTAAAATTCTACTCTTCCTTTCTCAATATGTATGTACCTTTAAATATAATCTTCATATGTCACTGTTTTGTTTTATTCTTAATTAAGTGTGATACAAACTAATCTCAAAATAGAACTTTTGGTAATGCATTGCCTAGAGTTGTGGAGGTTTATTGGCGATGTAACCATCTAGTGGCTTACTTGAGCGTATGGATGGTATTAAGTTTCTGGTCATCAAAATCTGTGAGAGTGTACATCTTATCAAACCAGCATTGCTTACCTTGACTAAAACTTTAAGCTAGTATTTATTTTTCCTTTTCCAAATTGCAATTTTCATGATTTTATGTGTGAAAAAAAACCATATATGACATTTTTATGGAGTTGGCAGACCATTATCTTTGGTGTAAGTATGTTGTGTATGTATCGTGGGACTCATTTTTTTGTGTGAAAGATTGATGATTATTCATGATGTTGTCTTCAGAGCAAAACCAACAATGATTGAATAAACAAAATTCTTAAATGTGTCTCTTTCCATACCCAGTGATACAAAAGACAAGATCAACGCTCTTGGAAGCAGTAAAGGAGCCCCATATGACTGTAGGGTAGACCCTCCTTTTGTTGGGTATGTCTCTCTCTTGTGTCAACTTTGAATGTTGATCTAGCATATAATACTTGTATTATTTATAATGGTTTTGTTTACTGCAGCTATGCAAAGCCATGGATGGATCTTGAGACTGGCAACTCGTTTTGCCTTTTCTTCCCTTACTCTCCAGAGCATTTGGTGCACACCACACCCAAGTTCAAGAACATGAAACCATATATATATGTTTCCATCAATGCTACAATGAAAGAACACAGCCATGTTTCTGGATCTGCATCTGCACTTTTTGTCGGGGGATTTTCCATAATGCATATGGGAAAGGTAGTTGGTCGATGATTTAGATTTTTTTTCCAGTCAGGTTTTGATATTGGTAGTAATAATTATGTTGAATTCCCTTGATTCTTCTGTATGTGACATAAGATCATTGAACTATTAGTATTGGGTTTAAATTTTGAATGTACTGTTTCAGTACTTATCCTGTGTCTCTCTGGAACAAGTTGCTTGCATTAAACATAGATATGGATCATGAATGACTTTGTAAATATTTTGTGTCTTTCAGAATATAGTGCAGTTGAATCTGACACCAGACTCCAACAAGACTATCATAACTATTTTGGGAAACACAGGTAAATGACTTGGGCACGTTCTCTCTCTTTTCATCTCCTCACCTGACCTCCTATACCACCCCCTTCCCCCTTTGTTCTATTTTTTTTTTCTTTATATGGACTAATGGACATGATACAAGTTTCCTGATACAACCCCAGAGACTTAGCAGCTGGTCGCTGCAGAGTGAAGATGAGTGTATTAAGGCTATTAATGTATGTGAATGAAGGAAGAGGGGAAGGGGTCGGGGAGTTGTAGTGAGGTAGTAGTAACAATTCTCTGAAAATTACCAGAATTTTAAGCTTTAGAAACTGATTAGGTACATATAGGGTTGGCCTTTTTTATTCTACCGAAGTTTAAAAGAATTCACCAAAGGTTTTCTAGTAAGCCAATGTGTTCTGGACTTATATTTGCTATAGTGAATTGCACAGTTCATTGATGGATGATTTCAAGTATGTGGCATTTGGGTCTGACATTTTTCAGTTGTGATGATTAACCTTGTAGGCTTCTGTTACATTGAGCTTGAAAAGAGTTACAATAGTTTCTGTTTTCTTGAGGTTGTCTGTTTAATCTTACAAACTCAGGAACTGTACCCTAATCTCACTGATGCGATGATTACTTGTGCAATGCCATCTCCAGTGCCCTACAGCTTGCACATGCCTCTGATGGATTCCATAGTTTCACTTGTCAGTCTAATATAATTCTACTAATTTATCTGATATTTGTAGATGTTGACATCCGCTGGCATATCCAAGATTTGTTAATGATCACTCCCATCCAGAAAGAAGAATTTGGTGTTGGTGGCCATGTACAGTATGAGGTGAGATTGTGCATAATTTGCTTATGTAAGAATAAATTTGTTCAGCCACATGGGCTTAGCTCAACTGGTAAGGTTGAGATTGGGTTTGGATAGAGATCCTAGGTTTGAGTTACAAAAAGGAAGAAAATGAATAAATTTGTTTTGCTATCAGAAAAACTAAGAAGCACAACATCTTCTGAAAACAGCAATTGTAGACCGAATAACGCCTGTATGGAAAATAGTATAATGGTTCAAAATCCTAAGAAGCTTGCCTGCAAGTTGTAGATAAGTCTTACCATTTCATAAAGCTGATATCAAAATTGGGATATATGGAATGAATTATTTCATGGCTATGTTATTTTTAAGCTCCAATCTTTTCATTTCTTGATATTGCTGTACTTGCAATTCAGGTGAAAGCGCTAGGTGCCAAGCCATTCAAGGATAAAATAATTGTCACACTCCCATCCACTGGTGAGCTTAGTCTTGAATCCAGATTTATAGGTTATCATGAGGAGGATTGGCTTCTCATCTATGGTTTCTATTTTTCAGGTCAAAGAGTAGAAGTGGATGTTAACTATGAAAGAGCATTGATCATTGACGTTACTGTCATGAACCGTTGGCTTCTAGGTTCTGCCCTACTAGCATTTATCATTGCAATCTTCATACGTATCTTGTACTTACCTTCGCGACCTTTTCGATTTGATTTTCGGCGACCATCCACACGCCCTCCCACTCCAAGCATATCAGCACCTGTCACACCTGAGCGGAGCAGTCCTGCTGTTCCTGATGAACAATCTCCACGAACACCTCAGCCATTTGTAGATTATGTGAGAAGAACTATAGATGAAACTCCATACTATAGGCGAGAAGGTAGGAGGAGGTTTAATCCTCAGAAGACATACTGAATCCACCATTATTTGGCATTGATAGATCATTAGCACTCTCTCTCTCTCTCTCTCTCTCTCTCTCTCTCTCTATATATATATATATATATATATATATATATCTTTTAGTGCTTAGAAGTTGGAATGTGGCAAAAAGCTGCCAAATTTTGTTGTATCATGTGTATACTTGAACTCGAGTTCATGTCTGATTTGGTTGCAAGTATTGTAGGATTTGCACTTTTAGCTTTGAATTCTCCTAATGCTGGATATGGCTTCATTTGCTTGATACTAATTCTTTTTATTCTCCATTTCTTTATTCTTTTATTTCTTTTTTGGTATAATGCCTAACAAAAAAAGTAACTTTTAAACTATTTAAAAAAATTTAAATAAATTTTTTATTCTTTTATTGTGTTTAATCAAGTTATTGTATATTTATTTTAAATTAATTTTTTAAGATTAATGGTTGATTGATTGTTATCAAATTAAAATGTTACATATTTTTTTATATTATGTGACACTAATAACAAGGTATATTGACATGTTGAAATTGGTTTTAATGTGATGCGATATAGTTATGTAATATTTTTTATTTTATTATGTCGATCTTATTTAGTAGCACGCGAATGTAAAATGATAAATAATATTTTGATTAATAATAATTAAATACTTATTAATTATAAGAGTTTATAAAAAAAAAAAAATTTATTTAAGTTTTTTTTTTAATAATGTAAGAGTAATTTCAAATAATTTTATTCTTTTTACTTTTTATCATTGTAAATTAAATTTTAAAAGGAACTTTGGGCTTTCAAGGTTTGCTTGGGCTGGAATCTGTTCTGTCTTACTGTTCTTGGGCAGCCGCATTGTTTTTTGGGCTGTTCTGGGCCTGTGATCTTCTGTTGAATTGGGCTTCTGGTTGGGCCCAACAGCATGAGCGGGCCATCTCCATTTACCAGAATAATTTTTAAATTTAAAACGGCAATCTCTTCTATAGCGGCACCTCAACCCAAAAAGGAAAAAAGTCTCTCCTTCGAGGCTCTGCTAATTCATTGTCTGTTCAAATTAATGGGAACCCGCGACGATGATTCATTTCCCACCGGAAGGAGAGGAAGCCCCGGGTAATTTTCCTCCCTTTTTCCCTTTGTTTGTTTCCCGAGAAAGCGCGGGAAAGTGAAAAATCAATCCTTTTTTGTTCTTTCATTGCAGCAAAATTTTTATAGGAGGAATACCAAGAGAAACGACAAGAGGTCTGTATTTTATTTTCTTTTTTTAAATAATATTTATATGGAGAAATTCATAGTTCTTTTTATTTTGATGATTATTTTGCAGTACAATTTTTCAAGCATTTTCATAAATATGGTGAAATCAAGGATTCCGTTATAATGCTAGACCCGAGAACCGGGATAGCACGTGGATTCGGGTTTGTTACGTATGAAAATCCCTCTGTAATTGATAAAGTTATCGAGGACGCTCATGTAATCAATGGAAAACAAGTAAGCTTCAGCTTTAATTTCAACAATAACCTTCAGTAGTTAATAATTGAATTATTGTCTTGGTTAATGGACATTTTTTTCGCCATTTTTGAGGTTCTATTTAGGTAGTTATTAAGAGAACAATACCAAAGGGAGTTGTTGGGACTAAGGATTTCAAGACTAGAAGGACTTTCATTTCTGGAATTCCTTCAAGACTGACTGAAGGTAATGTTGAAATTGGAACAATAATTGTTTTGGTTTGTGTTAAATGGCGCTAATTTATTTGTTGCATTGCGTAGATGAGTTTAAAGACTTGTTTAAACAGTTTGGAGAGGTCAAGGAACACGGAATCGTGCGAGATAATAATGCCAGTTTCCTTGGTTTTGGATTTATTACTTTTGGCACGGAGCAATCTGTTGATGACCTCTTAGCCAAGAGGAACAAGGTTGAACTGGATGGAGGATCGCAGGTGAATGGAATGCACCGTTTCTAGTTTTAGTTGAAAGAAATTCTTGTTGATTTTGTAATGCTGATTTCTTTCCATGGATAGATTCTATTGCATAAGGTGTATGCTAGATGGGAACGTCCTCCTAGGAGATTCTTCAAGCTCAACTCTGATGGGTCTTCTGCTGGCAATCCTGGAAAGGCAGGAGCTGGTGGTATTATAAGAAATGATCAGGGGGAATGGATTGTGGGGTACTCTAGGAAATTGGGCCAAGCAACCAGTACTTGTGCGGAACTTTGGGGGGTTAGGGATGGATTGCAATTAGCTGTGAAGCGAGGACTTTTCTATGTTATTATAGAAGTGGACTCGCAGGTTGTTTTGGATCTAATCTGTAAAGAAGCGGTTGATTCCCATACACTAGGCCCTATTATTAAGGAGTGCAGGTCGTTACTTGAGCAAATTCCTAATCACAGGTTCTGCCAAATCAATAGAGATAGCAATTCTTGTGCAGATCATCTGGCAAGAATGGGAGCAACGATGACCAAAGACTTTGTTATATTTGAGTTTCCCCCAGATTGTGTTAGACTGTTGTTATTTGCTGAGTCCTTGGAACCAGAAGACAATGATGTTATACTCGGTGGAGAAACTAATGAATTTAAATCTTTGAACCACACAAAGGATGACGACTCTCTGCCTCAGACCAAATGTGGAGCAAGTCCTGGGTACATCTCTTTCAACGTGGTTGGTGTCTGTCTTTCTGATAAAGTGAGGAGAAAGTGCAGGATAATTTTTAAACTTACTTTTCCCGTTACTCAATGACTTGTAAAAAAAGGACAGTAAATAAAAATTAGAATCACCAGCTTAAGGTTCAGCTTTTAACAAAATTCGTGAGACTTTGTTTAGTTAGTTAGAAAAGTGACCATAAATTGAAAAGAAAATGAGAGGAAAACAGGTTCTTTCTTAATTTTATCCTTTTAATTTAAGCATTTTGACCTATCTTAAGTAGAAACCTGTATATCACATTCAAGTTTACATTCACAATTGCTTAGATCTAATTGCATCATGGCTTATACTTTGGATTATAGCTTTCTTATTATAGCATCTTGTAAAAGGAAACTTCTAGTTTGAATATTTTAAAATATTTTATAATTTTGTTCAGCATGTCTACTTTGCAGCAAAATTTTTGTTGGAGGTTTAGCAAGAGATACAACATCTGGTTAGTTCTTAACCATAAAATTTTTTAATATTGTTGATATTGAGAGGAAATGCCTTTTTTAACCCACTTGGATCTTGATAATCTTTTATGCAGCACAGTTTCTTGAGCATTTTGGCAAATATGGTGAAATTGTGGATTCTGTGAGAATGAAGAAGAAAGAAACAGGGCAGCATCGTGGATTTGGTTTTGTGACATTTGCAGATCCTTCTGTTGTTGATAAAGTTATTAAGGACACTCATATTATTAATGGGAAACAAGTAAGATTCAAGTTTAGTCTCAATCTATATTACTGTGATGGACATGGGTATGCAGGTCCAGCCCTCTAAATATTAGGATCAGTTTAGGAAAAATTGAACTTATCCATATTGGACACATGGCCGTATCCAACGCTCATCCCAAGTCCGTATAACATAGGACTCAATATTGAGTTGGTTATTCTGCTTTCCTTGCGATAAATCATAGGTTACTACTTTAGTTATTGACTTGATTTATTGACATTTGGCATGCTTTTGTGTCTTTTAGGTAGGGATTAAGAGAACAATACCTAAGGGAGCTATAGGAACTAAGGATTTCAAGACTAAGAAGATTTTTGTGGGTGGAATTCCATTGGGAGTGTCTGAAGGTGATCTGTGTCTGTGCACATTCTTTTTTCAGCACTATATCAAGTTGATGTTTGATAAAATTTTGTGAAAGGTGGTTTTAATTAATCTTTTGCTGAAATGCGCTGATATATTTATTTTGCAAATGCCCAGATGAGTTCAAGGACTTCTTTTCACAGTTTGGAGAGGTCAATGAACACCAGATCATCCAGGATCATGCCACTGGTGGTTCTTGTGGTTTTGGATATATTACATTTGACACTGAACAAGTGGTTGATGATCTCCTGGCCAAGGGGAACAAGGTTGAGCTGGCTGGAGCTCAGGTAGATGGAATGCTTGCACTTCTTTTATTTCTTTGTCCTTGTTCTCAACAGTTGACGTCTCTCTTTTTATAAACCAGACTTCTTTGACTTATAACAGTGAAGAGACATGAATTAATTGAATAAATTCTTGTTGCTGGAGCATTAATAGTTTCTTTGAATGGTCACTTTGTCTTGTACATGATGATGATGACCCACCAGTCCATTAGGTCATAATAGAAGTCTTGCGGAGCCAACCTCTAATTGTAAAATTTCCAGAATCAACTACCCATGCTGGTCCAAGTGTAGGAGTAATTATCACATCTTAGAATGTGGATGCACATTTCAGTTAAATTAACAAAATCTAACATGACTGGCACATAAGGTCTGCATTTCTTTTTTCTGTTCTTGTAGGTTGAGATTAAGCGGGTATCTGAGCTGCATGGTGATTCTAGGAATGCCTATGATGGGTTTGAAGATTTTTATGGTGGATGTGTTGGTTTCAGGTTTGACAATATTGGTTACAGATCAGGTGGCAGTGGCCCTCGCTGGGGTGGAGCAGCTGGTCATGCTGGATATGATGGAACTGAATTTGGTGAGTATGGAGGATATGGCAGTGGTATGGAATTGTATAGGGAAGAGCCCCGCCTTGGATACTCAGGTCGTTATGGAGGAGGTGAATTTGGTTACTATGGAGAATATGGTAGTGGCACAGAGCCATATAGGGGAGATCCCTCCCTTCAATGCTCACCTCATCATGAAGGAGGTGAATTTGGTGGGTTAAAATGCTATGGTGGTCTTATGGAGCCACATAGAGATGAGCCCTTCTTTGAATACTCAGGTCATCATGGAGAAGGTGAGTTTGGTCGTTATGGAGAATATGGTAGTGGTATGGAGCTGTATAGGGGAGGGCCCTCCCTTCAATACTCGGGTCATCATGGAGGAGGTGAATTTGGTTGGTTCAAGTACCATGGTGGTGTTATGGAGCCATATAAAGAAGAGCCATCCCTTGAATACTCCAATCATTGTGGAAGAGATGAATTTGGTGGTGGAATGGAGCCATATAGGGGAGAGCCCTCTAAATTCTGGAGGCATGTTGAAGGTGGTCTATTTGGTGGGTATGGTGGTGCTATGGAGTTGTGCCAGAAAGAACCCTTTGATGAGCACTCTATTCTTTCTAGAGGTTTCGATAAAGGCTATGATGTGGGACATGGCTTTGGAGGCCCTAGTGATATTTATGGAGAATATGGTGCGGGTGGCATCAGTCGTGGCTATAGAGGTGGTGGTGAAGGTGCCTTCTTCGGCCATAGAGGAGGCCACGGCGGTGTAGGGAGAGGTGCTTGGTATCATCCTTATGCTAGGTAGGAAGAAGGTTGTTGGTGGAATGGAAACCTTCGTATACTTATATACATGCGCTGGAATTGTAGGTTGTCTCAGGTTGAAGTACCTTGGCCCTTCTCTCTTTATTAATAATAATAATAATTATTATTATTATATCTGGTCTTTTGCTTTGATTTAGGTAACTTTTGTTTGATGTTTTTATTATAATAAAATTTTTATAAATTAATAATTTTGATTAAATAATATTTTAAATTGATCTCGACTTAGGATTAATGTTATAAATTAATAGTTCATTAAATTTATAAAATAATATATTTAAAAAATAGGTATAAATTTTACTTGATATATAAATTAATAATTTTTTATATATTAAAATTATATATATATGACTTAATTAAGTAATTTTTGTAAAATATAAATTTAATATTATTTTTTTAAATTATTTTTTTTATTTTTAACTTTTTTTAATACAGTAAGGAGTTTTGGTGTCGTATTTTCGTATTACAAAAAAAAAATACAATGTGATCATTACTTTTAGTGCATCTTTACGCGAAACAGGTTTTAGTACAAGATAATTATTTTTAATTTTATTTTTTTTGTTATTTTTAATGATCTTTTCAATAATTTTTTTGTTATAAATAATAAAAATTTGTAATATAATAATTAAGTAATATTCAGATAATCTTAATATATAATAAATGTATTTAGTTTAAAATTTAAAAAAATAAAAAATATTTTGATAAATTAATAATTTATTAAAAATTAATTAATGTATAAATTAGTAAATTATTTATTAATTAATTAAATAATATATCAATTAATTAATAAATGTTTATAATCCCAAAGATATTAATTTATAGGGATTTTAATATATTTATAATATTTGATATTTAATTTAATTTTTTATTTTTATTTATTTTAAAAAATAATAATAAAAATATCAATCAAACAATCCTAAATATTTTATTTAATGTTTGAAAGATCTTATAATTGATAAGGAATTTTTTGTAATCTATGTGGAAAATCTATGTTATAATCTAGATCTTTATTAGTTCCCTTAAATTGTTTATTTATCAATAAATAAATTATTCAATTTAGTCAAAATAAGTTAAGAACTAGATTTAATGGTTATCGTATAATTCCTAGTAAGAAAATAACAGGGAACTCTTGAAAATCAAGAAAAAAAAAAGGAGTATAAAGTAAAGACAATGCTCAAAATTTATAGTTTTCTTCTAAATCACTTATATTTTCTATAAAAAAATAAGAGGCTTGAAAAAAAAGATAAAATGTTGGTAATAAATTCTCTATTTTAAACTTAATTCAGATATAAAGTAAATTTATAATGCTACTATCAAAGCTATAGTTTTTTCTTAAATTAACATTGCTTCATTAAAAAAATTAAAATTGTTTATAATGTAGGGATATCAATGCAAAGAATACAATATCTTAATTCAAAATTTGTTATTCGATAGAGTATTTGAATTGTATAAATATTTGATTAAAATTTTGAATTATTACTTGAACTCATATTTAAATATTTTAAACATTATTTATTAAATATTTGATTAAAAAATTTTAAATTAATTTTATTTATATTTTTAATTAAAAGTCAATTAATAAATTAAAATTATTTTTAAAAATTAATTAATAAATTAAAAATTAATTCATAAAAATAAATTTATGCTTAAAATCATATTTAAAATAATTAGTAAATTTTAATAAATATTGCATTAATGATCAAAATTTTAATATTAAAAATTATTATTTGTAATAGAGCTCTAATAGTGAGTTGAATTTGTGACGACTTAAATTTAATTATTGAATATTATAAATATTACATATTATAATAAATATGTTTGTTTAGAATAAATCTAAGAAAAAAAGGAAACTAATTTTAAAAAGACTTAAGGTTTTCTTTATTTAGGCAATCACAACTGTCGGTGCTTTCCATTTCTAGGGTTTTATCTGGTTTTTACTTTTTAGGGCTATCATTTACATTTCTAATTTCCAAGCAGAAACTACAAAAGCAAACGTTTTTAGGGCTACAGTTTCGTTTCGTTTGTTTTGCTTCCTTCTCCACAAGCCCAAAGCTCTGAGAAATTTTCCATTTTTGCCATGGACCCTCGAGACGGTGAAGCAATTCTTGACGGAGAAACCAGCGATTTTAGATCCTCTGACCATCCGGAGGATGACAAGTCTCAGCCTCACACCGGAGATGGAGCCAGCCCTGGGTAATTTTGTTTTTTTGATTTGTTTCCTTGGAAAGTGCGGGGAAGGTGAAGGAAAATCTTAAGATTTTCGATTACCCATCACTTATTGACTTGTAAAAACGTAAATTAGCTCAAAACTAGAAACGCTCGTTTTTTTTAGATTTAGTCTGTTTGTTTCCTGAGAAAATGGTAGAAAAGTAAAGGAAAAGGTTGAGGTTTTGCATTACCCTATTAGTTAATGACTTGAAACAAAAAAAACGTAAAATAGGTCAAATGGACATATCCATTTTCGTTCTTTCTTAGTTTCCTCTGTCTATTTCCAGGAATTTTATGATATATTTAGGTATTTGTTCCTTTGAAAGGTCAACTTTAAGTGTAAATACTGTTGAAGTGATTTATGACTATATTCAATATTTGGAAATTTGCAGCAAAATTTTTGTAGGAGGTTTAGCGAGAGAGACAAATTCTGGTTAGTTCTTTAGCTTGTTAGAGATTTTTCTTAATGTTGTTGAATATTAGCACAAAGTGCATGGCCTGTAGTCTCTACCCATTTGGTTCTTGTTATTAATTTTATGCAGCACAATTTCTTGAGCATTTTGGTAAATATGGTGAAATTACGGATTCTGTGATAATGAAGGACCGGAAAACGGGGCAGCCTCGCGGGTTCGGGTTTGTCACTTATGCAGAGCCTTCTGTAGTGGATAAAGTCATTGAGGACACTCATATTATTAATGGGAAACAAGTAAGAATCCGCTTTAGTCTCAATGTTAAGTTGATTGTTCTGTTTCCTCACTGTAGTCCAGTGGGCACTATTTTACTTATTGACTTGAGCTACTGGTATCTGGCTTGATTTTTGGGCCTACTAGGTAGAGATTAAGAGAACAATACCAAAAGGAGCAGCAGGAAGTAAGGATTTCAAGACTAGGAAGATTTTTGTTGGTGGAATTCCATCGTCTGTATCAGAAGGTGATACCAATCTTTTTCTTCCTTGATTGTGCAACTCTTGATTCATTATTGATATTTTGTTTAAGTGTTAATCTATTTGGTTCAAATGGGCAGATGAGTTTAAGGACTTCTTTATGCAATATGGAGAAGTTAAAGAACACCAAATTATGCGGGACCATGCCACCAATCGTTCTCGTGGTTTTGGATTTATCACATTTGAGACAGAGCATGCGGTTGATGATCTCTTGGCTAAGGGAAACAAGGTTGACCTTGCTGGAGCTCAGGTATGTGCAATGCCCATTAACTTGATTAGATTCTCTATATTTTCTTCTTTCAATGCTGTTTTCATGCTTGAACCTTCATTGAATTTGAATGGATGAGACACGTGTTAATCAAATGATCTTTTTCTTTTTAATTTTACTAACATATAATGTCCTTGTCATGAAGCTACCTTTTCCAAAAACCAGTGGTGCCTTTTTTATGATCTTATCTGTTTTTCTTCTTGAGCTTTTATCTAGTGACAGCTTACCATTAATGTGCACCATTTTGCTCGATGAGCTTTAATTTTTGACCTGAAAACATACTTCTTGAGATTTTTCTATTGCTTTGATGGTAATTTGTAATGGAAAATAGGAAGGATTAACGCTTTATGGAATCTTGTATTTTCCATTATTTAGCAATGGTTCTTTTGTGCTTGAAGCTTATGAGGAAGGGAATTTAGAATATTAATATTTTTCTTTTAATTTTAAAAAGGCTAAATGAGTCTCATGATGGTTCTCTTTACTTGTAGGTCGAGATTAAAAGGGCAGAGCCAAAGAAACCAAATCTGCCCCCACCCCCATCCAAACGATATAATGATTCTAGGACTGCATATGGTGGTGGATATGGAGATGCTTATGGTAGATATGGAGGTGGTGGATTTGGTAGTGGTGGTTACAGATCCAGTGGGGCTTATGGGGGTCGGGCCGGTGGTTATGGGGGTTATGGAGGAGGTGAATTTGGTGGGTATGGAGGTTATGCTGGTGGTATAGGGCCTCACAGGGGAGAGCCCTCTCTTGGATACTCAGGTCGTTATGGAGGAAATTTTAACAGAGGCTATGATATGGGAAGTGGCTATGGAGGCCCTGGTGAGATTTATGGAGGATATGGTGCTGGTGCTACTGGTGGTGGCTATGCTAGTAGCTATGACACTGGCCTTGGGGGTGGCTATGGCGCTGCTGCTGGTGGTGCTGGGAACTCCTTCTATGGAAGTCGAGGGGGATATAGCGGAGCAGGTAGTGGTCGATACCATCCTTACGGAAGATAGAGAGGTTGTTGCTGGGAAAATCTCTTCGAAGTTATAAATGTTCTCAGTTTGTACCTTGTAGCTCCTTGATGTCATTATTCTTAGTTTAGTTCTTTCTTATTTGAGGTTCAAGGATTGGATCATCCTGTTTACACTTTACCTTTACTGGACTGTGAGAGCTAAGTGGGTCTTATTTTTGTACTTCTCTTTTGATTGACATTAACATGCAAATTTTGCAAGCTGTATGATTGATTCTTGAATGAGTACAGCAGGCAAAAATGAAAGGAATTCTTTTTCAATTGAGCTCCTATTTTCTGCTTGTTAAGTTCTGATCCTCAGTTCCTGTCCTCTTCTAAGTTTTGACATACCTAGATTTTCAGATAAATAAACCATGCATGTAATTTTATTACTAAATTTGGAAATTATCAAATTTAAAAAGAAAAAAATGAAAATCATTAGCACTAACTATTTCCATGGCTTAAGTTTGCTTCAAACATTAAAGAATTAACAAAAAATCATGATAAACAAGATACATACTAACCCCTGAGCTGAAATTACTTAACAATTATTTGGCTTGATAATAATACCTTTTATATTTGGGTTTTTATTTAATTTTAAAAAATATTAATCTAGATTTAATTTTTAATTTTTATAAAATTATGGAGAAAAAGGCAAATAAGACAAGTGGCAATAGGACAAGCAAGCTTTTAATTTTCCGACCACACAGTTTCCCAAAATATCTCACCAGTCCTTGCTAGCACCATAGCTTTGGCTTTGTGTCTTAAAACTTTGCCATTTGGGTAAACAAAGGACAGAGAGAGACAAAATTTTTCTGCTTGGCAGCTCCTCTCTCCAAACAATATTAAAACAAAACTTCTGCATTCAAAAATTCTTTCCTCTTCTCTTTCTTTCTAGTTTCAACCCAAAGAAAGAAAAGGAAACACCCAGAGAGAAATTTCTATATAAAGAAATGGCAATGGTGGCAGCATCCAATTTAAGTACATACCCAAAGGTGAAAGTTTTTCTATTAAATTTGGGTTTTTTTAAAAAAAATCTTTTTGCTTTTTTGTTCTTAATAATCAACCTAATTCTGGGTGACATTTACTCTGTTGACAGGCTCAGATGCTTCAGGTAATATGCAGAAGGAAAGAAAGAGGAAGAGAACATCACAACAATTACCCCTATAAAGTCATCGAAATTACACCCCCACCCAAGTCCCTTGGTGTTCGTTGCTTCCCTCCTGTAAGTCCCATTTTCTTCCTGTCTTTATCTTGTCTGAATAGTTTTTTGTTTTGGCAGAGGTTTTTTGTCTGAATACAAGTCTTTGCAAATGTGGCTCTATGTCTTTGTAATAGATTGAAAATGGTGAGTATTAAATTATGGGAAAAATGACAAGAATGTGAAGCCTTTGCATATAGGATAAAATATTGATTCCAATATCTAAAGGTCAGATTACAAAAATGCCCCAAGTATGCTCCTTAGTAAAACTATGACGTTGGGTATTGAATCATGTGCTTTGTAGCTTATTCTGGTGGCATTCTTGATCTTCTTTATTTTCATTTAAGATCACTTGAACTAAGGTATAGAGTCTATAGACGATTGGTGATGGCTATATTATTTCCATTTGAAAGCAAAGGCTTACTTGTTTTTCTCAATTCTGAAGCAAGGTCTGATACAAAGCCTTTGCCCCGTAAGGCATGGCACTTTGGAGTCTTCATTTTGTTCTTGAAGATTTAATGGAGTAAATTGAAGGATAGAGTACCATTATTTTGTAAGCATTTTAGAGATTCTGGTTTACATTAGTGAAATTTTAATTAATGGTTTGTTGAGTTTACGTGGAAGCAAGCGTTTGAAACCTGTTTTCCAGATGTAAATGTTGGGTAGTTTGCAAAATCGGATCGAAGGAGAGGTTATCCGGTTTTCAGCTGTTGGTGGTCTCTCATTTCTTCTTTTTCCTCCCTTCCACTAATTTGGCATGATGATGACATTATTCGCATGATGACAAGAAGACATTAGAAACTTGTAATCAGGTCTAGACAAATGGAGTAAATATAACGAGGAGTTTTCAACGGAAGAAGAGTAGTCAAACAACAGAATGAGTTCCAAAATGGCTAATGTCCGATGTAGGAAAACTCTCCAAAGTGGGATGCTACCAGCTCAGCTGGTCGCATTCGATGGGGACAATTCTCTCCTGCTTCAGCATAAATGAGCTGCCAAAACAATGCAGAAAATAATTGAACACAGCAAAACATAGTGGTTTAGGCTATTAGCATGGAGAGGACTTTAGGAAATCGTGCTTGTGCAGATTATGTAATGATTTGAAGGGGTTTAGGCTAACATATGTTGATTTATTCCTTTATATTATTCTTAATTTTAAAGTCAATTGTATAGTTTATGCATGACTTATTAGCAGATGAAGATGGGTGGTCCATATATTGGTTGTAAATTTCCAAACTATTGAGCTATCTTGTTCTGATGTACTACTTGTTTAATGAGTTGTAGGTGTCAAGGGCCCTTCATCATGTGTTTTAGAAGCAGAAAGCTAAGAATAAGCCCTTCTCTCAAATTCTAAGCACAAGGCATACAGAACTTTAATGATCTGTCATCTTTGTCAATATTGCTACACTTTTTCATGGGGATCAGTAGGTCCGATACAGTTGTGAAACTAGAGACTATTATGACATGATATCACTGCTGGGGCATTTATGTTCCATTCTGTCAGTTCTGATTGTTCCTTCTGTATCAGAATTTGCAGTGTGGGGAGAGTGTGACAATTGAAGGCCAAACATATACAATCTCAGCTGTAACTCACCGCTACCAGCTTCGCAAAGGAAAGTATGAACCTAGTGAAAAGAGGCTTGATGTTCTGTCCACAGGGAGATACATCCTTAACTTATATCTCGAAAGCTTGCTAGACCAGTCTTGATGCCTAGTTTCAAACCATTTTTTCTTCTTTTTACCTAGATATAATGCCTTTATGTCTACTTACAGAACAGAAAAAAGAGTCAAGATTATCAGATTGTAGATGTTTGAATATGCTTTAACTAAAGTAAATGAATCCTGAAGTTGTGTAATGCTTGATTTATGTATGAAACCTTTATGGTAACCATTGGCATATGATTCAACAGGTGATATTGCTTTATTTTTTATTTTGTTTTTGCTTTTGTGAAGTCGTAATCCCTATGTCTTGGTCTCACAGTTTTGTTGCATTAGAAACGCTTGGGAAAACAGTTCAATACTCAATCTCACTCTAGTGCACTTTTCGATGTGAGATTCATGACTTCCCTCTAGGACCCCATGACAGCTTCGATCATTCCTTGCATCCTCAGCTAAAAAGGACATTGGCTTACCAACAGTTCCAACTGTAAGGATTTGGCATCCATGATCCAACACTTTATATCCTGCTTTTTTATTTAAAAATATAGAAACAGCTGCTTCTGTCATGTTTGAAGAGTGTTCTAATCATGAGTGCTACCATTATTGTCAAGTCCTAGACATATATAGTTTTATGTTCCATTAGTTAAACTCCCCCAATAGCTTCATCCAACACACTCAATTATTGGACTAAAAAATTATATACATTACATCTCAAGTTTAAACTAAACTAAACTCTCTTCCATAATAAGATTAAGCCACGGTAAATTCGTATTATGAATTGACGATTTTTTCGTGTATTTTGTTTTATTATTATTTTTTAGGATGATATTTGTCTCGAGTTTTTATGCATAAGATTGAAATGTATAAAAACAAAGCAACACGTTGATATTATTGCAATTATGAACATTTTTTTAACATGTTGCAAGAAAATGTAACATAATTTTGTTGAGACCTAAGTATTTGAGAATAATAATTTCACTTCCATGCTTATCCTAAACCTGGCCACAGAAGATCATGGAAACCTCCTCTTGCGGATGTGGTCATCATGGAAGGAGGGAGAGAATGATTTCATACGTTGCACACTGAAAATGATCGTTGTAACATTGTTTATGTGATTGGTGACAAGGGTCCCACATATTGGGACCCTGTCTGGATAACCACCTAATCATTACACGTGTCAACATCAGGAACCGTGACAGGGACGCTTAGCAACATCAAACATCCCTTCAATCCTCCTAGGGACCGTCCAATTCGGAGAAAGTCCTACCCGCCACCGTTGGATCATCATAAAATTCTATGGTCAAGAAGAAGGGTAGTTGGTGGGACCCGAGTTACGGGTTAACCCTTTGTTATTTTTTAAAATTAAAAAGGAAAAAGGCATTAGGGATCAAGGACTGCCCAACAACCCTAAGCCTAACATCTGCCCTACAAAATTCCCAAAAAGACCTTAAGTGGGTCCCATACATTCCCCACCACCCCACCCACACCGGTCCAAAGAGCACAGTTGTGGGACCCCGCAGCGTGGCAGGCTGACCCCATGTGTCTTAAGTTGCTCCTATCAAGGATTGGACATCGATTTCCCCAATTTTTTTCCCTTCAAAAAAAAAAAGGGGGCCAAAGAGGATATAGGGTCAATATGAAAAGCCATTTTGCCCCCGTGATTAAGGGCGTTAATTACTAATTTAAAGAGAGGGTGCCCGTAAGGGGAAAAATCATAGGTTATATTACCCGTGGGTGCACGGTAATATCATGACAGCCGTCCATGTGCTCCTGTTCATGTTTCACGTGCCTGCATGTGAAGGGCTTTCCTCGTTCCCGCCAAAAAAAAAAGTAAAAATAAAAATAAATATGTTGCGGTTATTTAACCCACCATGTGATTATAATTAATTTTTATTTTGTTTACCTTCCCAAATTTAATGACTATAAATTCAAAAAAACAATAAGTAAATAAATAAATAATCATCTAATTGTTACAGCGTGAATCTAGTTGTTGTGGCCAATGAGAATGCATGATTCGAGCTGTCTAATAAAATCATTGTCAGTAAAAATTGTGAATTGGAAAACCTTTATAAAGTCCATAAAATAAATAATTTCAAGAGAATCTCAATATTGACTATTGCTTTTTGAATAATTAACATTGTTTAAATTTTAATTAATTTAATTTTTTTGAGTTTTATATTTAAGATATTACAAGTTATTAATATGCTATCACTTAATCTCAAAATATCACATCATAAATGTATAAATATTTTTAAAATTATAAATATTTATAAAATTTTATATCACTTGTTGGTTATAAAGTCACATGTACTTTGGCTAGAAAAAACAAGTAGGAAGGTTAAAGATAAATGGATTTTTTTTTTTTATAATTAAAGAAGGGAATTTATAAATTTTTCTCTTTAAATCATACATAATGTACCAATTAATTAGATAAATGTTTAGATGTCGAGTTTTTTTATATAAGAATAAATTAAAAGTTATGATTTTGTTATTTATTTTGGAGAAATAAATACAATATTTTTTTCCTATAAAAAAGTGCCCACTTTTTTTATTTTTTGCTAAATTAAAGGCTTTAAGTGCATTGAAAATAGTACTTGAATGGTTTTAATGGGGAAAAGTTGGTAGTGGGAGGGAGGTTATCAAAAGAGGGGTGGCCCAAATTTAATCCATCTGTTTCCACTTAAAACTTTGAAGATTTTACAAGAACAAGAACAAGAAGGTGAGGAACCAAAGCAAAGCAAAGCAAAGTAAGAGAGAGAGAGAGAGAGAGAGGGAGATATATATATATATATATATAAAGGCAGAAGCTTTGTTTTTTTCCTTTATTGCCTGAGAGGGAACAACCTAAAGATAAAGACGGCTTTAAGCTTTGCTTTGCTTGTCAAGTTAGCTTTGTTTTTCCTCCTAATCTTCTTTCATAAAACGACGAAACAAAACAGAACATAAACTTTTTTTTTTTCATTCATAATTTTTTTAAAAAAAAGAAAAAACAAAGCCAATTATCATTATTATTATCATTGTTTTCTTTCTTTCTCTTTCTCTATCTCTTTTCTTGTTTGGATCGGATCTGGAGAGCTTCTTAGGAGAAGAGAAACACACACGAAGACAAGGCAAAATCCGAAGAAAGCTGTTTCACTTTTCTCTTCTTAAAAACAGCTTTTTCTTTTTTTTTTTCTCTTTTTTTCCTTTCTGGGTTTTTCATTTCATGAAAGATTTCAGTTTGCCCAGCATTGTTTTCTCTGTTCTATGATCAGGTAACTTGTTTTTGGCCTCTTTAAAGTTTTTTTTTTTTTTATGATGGGTACTTTGGAGTTTTTTTTTCTAAGCTTGTTTTTCTTGGTCATGCATTTTCTTAGTAGCCAAACATTGCATTTTAGCTATCAAAAAGAAAAAAGAAGTTTGCATTTTGGGTTCTTGAGATACTTGAAAGTTATTTTGTTTTTTTTCTCTTAAAAAGCAAAGAAATTGGCTATGCTTCAATGGGTTGGATGCTTAGAATTTTGCATTCATTTGATTGTTAATTACGGTTTATTATCTTGTTTTAAGGGCCAGCAGTTTATATCTTGGTATCTCCGTAATCTTTGGTGTTTTCTTTGATTGTAAATTCTGTTGGTGATTTTGTTTTGTTCAAATTTAGGACTGCTGCGTGAAATTTACTTTTCTTGGTTTCAACAGCTTAGTATTTTGACTAATTGTATTTCTGTAACAGTTGATTTTGTGTTGTTGGGACATTTAAGTTGGATGATTCTATAATTAATGGCTGAATCGTAGAGTTTTCACCTAGAGGAATAAAGTTTACTTTTGCTGAATTGGACTTTGGTTTGGCAGTGGTTGGTGATGTTGAATTCTTCAATGGAATCACTTGCTATTTCTTCATCAAAGAGTCAAAGTCCCGGTTCTGCCATAGGCAATAATAACCCTCATTCAGCATCTGGTACGCCTAGGCCTTCTCGGCCTCCATCTCCAAAACAATCAAGAAATGAAGGACCTTCTTCTACATCGCAAGTAACTACTCTTAATCATGGCGTAAGGATTGTTCGACATCCAAATGGTACTATAGGCTATCAAAAGCATTCGTACAAACCAGCCTATGGCAACATGCAGCATGAAGAATTGCCTAACATGGCAAAACACTATATTGATTCAAGTAAGGGGAAATCTGAATTGGTAGGAAAGAACGAGGCCACTATTCCTAGTCAGAAGGAGATTTTGACAGTGGAAAGCAAATCTTCCTTCAAGCACCCAGTCGATGATCATAAGAGTTCTAATTCAAGTGGTCCATTGGAATCTGCTAAAATTGTATCGGGTCCTTGTAAAGGAGGTGTTGTGCAGTTGACCAACCATGTCGCATCTCAATCAGAACCAAGCTTTTGTCAAAGTCCTTCAAATAGTATGTGTGCTGGCACGCTTTATGCTGAAGCCAAACAAAGTTTCACCAATACAGAAGTTAGTGAATGTGCAAGCAGTGTTGACAAGTCTGCTGAAAGTGTTGAAGTTAGTAATTCCTGCGATTTAGTTGAGAGTAGGAAGACAAGCATCTACAGAGGGAGCACTGGCAGTGATGTTAGTGATGAAAGCAGCACTAGTTTTCTAAGCAGTGCCATCTACAAGCCCCACAAAGCCAATGATATAAGATGGGAAGCAATTCAAGCTGTCAGATCTCGAAAGGGAGATTTGGACTTTAAGCACTTTAGGGTGCTGAGGAGACTGGGATGTGGAGATATTGGTAGTGTTTATCTATCGGAATTGACTGGCACTAAAACTTATTTTGCTATGAAAGTTATGGATAAAGCTCTTTTGGCAAGTCGTAAGAAGCTTCTGAGAGCCCAGACAGAGAGAGAGATTCTGCAATCTCTGGATCATCCCTTCCTACCCACCTTGTATACGCACTTTGAGACAGAGAAGCTTTCTTGCTTGGTGATGGAGTTCTGCCCTGGAGGAGACTTGCATGCCCTGAGGCAAAGACAACCAGGAAAGTACTTTTCAGAGCAAGCTGCCAGGTTACCTATTGG